GATTATCAGGTTGCCTCATAGAGAAGAAACGCTTCTCATTGGTTGCTTATTTGACGTCACTCGTAGTCGAAAACGAAACATCTTACTATGTCCTTATGGTAGAAACGTTACCGATCAGAGGCTCGTAGCTTTAATTACACGCTAATATTTTATTAATTACGATACTTACTTAAGTAAATAAAAATGGATTATAAATAAGAAAAATCCGGAATATTGAGCAAATCTTCGTAATTTTTACGTGTAAAGTTGAAATTAAAATGCGTTTTTCTACTTTGTAAATGAAATCTATTTTATCTATTTTATGATATTATAACAACAATAGTTTCTTAAAAGATTAATTTTGGTAAATTATATTGGTCTATACATACTATACTATACATACATATTGGTCTATACATACATAATGTATACATACTGTATACGTAATGTATGTATACGTATAGGTTATGTGGTGAATAAAGTATTCCAATGATGTAGTGAGTATTTAGACGACGCACAGCATTATCGAAACAAACAATTTAATTAAATAAAAAACTTACAACAGAGAAAGGTCTAGGCCAGGGATCGCCAAACTTTTTTGATAATTGACCCCCTACAACTTTCGTAACCTCACATTGACCCCCACCAAAATGTTTGTGTTACAAGCAAAAAAAGCTCTTACTATACCAACTACTTTAGACAATACCTACTGATGATGCTTACTACTCATACTGTTACAGTAGCTCTTACTATTTTAATATATAGACCATCTTTTAATTTTACATTTTTTACATTTATTGTACATATGTTAATACAGTAATAATTTTTGTAACTGACAATCAATGAGACGGATAAGCTTGATAATCTTTTGCAAGATTAGCAATATTCGGTTCAAAATTTATAAGTTTGTCTTTTCATCGACCTCCCAATAATGTTATATCGACCCCTGGGGGTCAATATCGACCACTTTGGCGACCCCTTGTCTATGCAAATTACAACTACAAAACGAAACGACTCTAATCAGGTCCTAGATCAGGGGTGTCCAACCTTTTTGTTCCTCTGGGCCACATTGGAAGAAGTCATGGAGTTCTGGGCCACAAGTATATTGCGACCCAATTTTTAAATATTCAAGTATATTTAAGCATTTACATGTCTAGATTATAGTAATAAGTATTAAAACTTTATCACGAAAAAGGATATTTTAAAAAAATTACTTTTACAGACGCTTTTAATTTCTACTTAGAAATTGACTTCTTTATAATAAATAAAATTATCTAACTAAACTTTATTTGAAAAACAAATATTTGGGTCTTTAATTAATAAAATAACAACGAAACACCATCTTAAAGTGCATTTTTATTCAACTAATATATTTATAAATAATATGTAGCCCAAAATATAGCCAATGCGCCAAATGATATTTTTTTACGCCAAACTAAAAAAACGGTACTTAAATTTAACTCAAAGTAGACAAATCTTGCAACGCTGAAAGGAATATTAAATAAAACTAGAGTTGGGATTCAAAGGATTATAGACCCAAATTCGGGGAAGAGAGAGAAAGGTCAAAAAATAAAGAAGTGAGAAAGGTTAAATAGACCTTCTGTTATGCAAATATTGATCCTTGATTTTCCAATCTTTCTAGCTTCTTTTTATTTTTTGGCCTTTCTCTCCTTTCCCCGAATTTTGGGCTATAATCCTTTGAGTCACGACTCCAGCTTTATTAAGTATTCCTTCTTCATTCAAACATTTCAAATATTTGACAATACTTCCTATTAAAAAATAAAACATGTATAAAGGTTTACAGTTTTGAGAAACTTTTTTCGAGTTTTGCCGTTGAAATAAATAATTTAAAAATTTGTCGGTTTTGTTTACACGTTTATTGGGCCGCATGCAGCCAGCGGGCTGGACACCCGTCCTAGGCAGTAAGGTTGCCTCATAGAGAAGAAACGCTTCTCATTGGTTGCTTATTTGACGTCACTCATAGTCGTAAACGAAACATCTTACTATGTCCTTATGGTAAAAACATTACCGATCAGAGGCTCGTAGCTTTAATTACACGCTAATATTTTATTAATTACGATTCTTACTTAAATATAAATAAAAGTGGATTATAAATAAGAAAAATCCGGAATATTGAGAAAAATCTCCGTAATTTTTACGTGTAAAGTTGAAATTAAGATGCGTTTTTCTACTTTGTAAATGAAATCTATTTTATGATATTATAACAATAATAGTTTCTTAAAAGATTAATTTTGGTAAATCCTACGTAGGTGATTTATATATAAATGAATTAATTTCTTTCGTCAAACGACTTCTTTTTTTAAAACTAAAAATTATATTGGTCTATTTATTTAATTTTTAATATTCATGTACCAAAAACGATATTATTTACTCATACATACAGTAGAGCCTCGATTATCCGACTCAATTGGGGACTGGAGTTGGTCGGATAATTGAAAAGTCGGATAACCGAAAAGTATGAAAAAATCTATTATTAGTGTATTATTATATCCCATTAGTAGTATATTATTATATCCCATTAGTAGTATATTATTATATCCCATGTAATTAGTATATCGCTAATAACCTACTTCGCGTTGAATTTTCATCGATGTTAAGCCTAACAAAAATTTTTTAAAATAATAATCATCGCTATTGTATCGTTAAAAATTAGAAAATTAAGCCTCGTTTAAACACTGGCTTCCTTTCATGGTCGATCTAGTGTTTCCAGCTATAACACGTAAAAATAATCTTAAAGTATCCAAGACATAGCCAAATATTGTAGCGCCACATCACTAGCGGACATTTGAAATTTGCCGACTAGGACGGTCGGTTAACCGAGGTGTCGGTTAATCGGGGAGTCGGATAATCGAGGCTCTACTGTATACAAAAATAAAAAATTGTTCGTTTGACAAAGTTATGTTATAAACATATTTTTAATACAGTATCAATATGTACATATTAAGTGTTACATAGAAACAAAATTAAAAGAAATCAGGTACAAACTTTTTAAAATTTTCTATTATTATTACAGTTTTAAATTAAGATCCAAAGTTTTACAATAATTTAAGAGATTCTTCTGGTTTATCCCGTTTATTTACATCTAAAAATTTTTCTGTCAGTTTTTTTTTCTATTTCTTTTTTTGAATTGACTGATTAATTTTTTCATTTTCTATATTTCCTAAATTTACTGTCGGTAGTAAAGTTTTCTTTAGTTTAGGTATTGCCAATAAACCTAATAACTGCTTTTTTCTCTGAAAATCATTTTCTGTGAAATGATCAGAGAGAAAATGACAAGAATCAGGATTGAATTTGTCTTTTCTTTTACAATTATGAATCCACTTTCTTCTTATTATTGGATCTTTAAGAAATCTAAAGTAACCAACTTTCCTGTTTAATAACTTTGTTATGATAGCTGTTATTACAAGTTGCAACAACACATGATGCTCCTGACATGTAAAAATGAAAATAATGATAATAAAATTTAGCTATTTTTTTAATTTCCCCAAATATATGTAATCAAGATATAATATTCTAAAGTAGAGAAAAGCAGTATTAACATTTCTTACATAAAAATTATTATACAAATAAATAACACTACAATAAATTTATATTTTGCATTTCTATGCATTTTACGTAAATACGCATATTTTAAAAAAGTTAACTTAAAAGTGTTACCATCCTGTTACGGGCCAGCTTATTATTTGTAGTCGTCATTTTATCGTGCAGATACTATTTTTATACACGCAAAAAACTATTATTAATATTTTAAAATATTTTAGTAAAACATATATTTTATCCGTGATCATATTCTGTAATTTCTACACAACCAAGTGTAAAGACTACAACAAAATATCAAACAGTTCTAGGAACGCTTTTACTTCAGTACAATTTTTATCGATATAATTATCAACATAATTATGTTTAATAATAGTAATAACGATATATTTATTTACCTTCGAAGATTAAGAGTCTAAAATTTCTCAACAAAGTAACAAAAATAGTGAAATTCCAAAATTTTCTTCCCTCGCTAATTGTGAAGGGTCGCTCGACCAGACTCGACTACGGATGACGTATATCCGGAATCTGGCAGGAAGTGGCTAAACCAGCTGTTTGAGGTAGAATTATATTTATATCCAAAGCAGTTTTCCTCTCATCAGATGTGTGTGCACTTTTTTTAGACGCAGTCCCGTTTCTGTGGCGGCGGCGGCGGCCATCTACCTGGCCAGTCAGGCCTCTGGCGATAAGAAGACTCAAAAAGGTAATTATTTTCTTCTCTCAAATTAAGAAAAAGAAACAAAAACAACTTTTGTATTTTTTATTCTTTAGAAATTGGTGACGTTGCAGGAGTGGCTGCCATCACAATTCGCCAGTCATATAAATTGATGTACCCCGGGCTGCTGATCTCTTTCCGGGAAACTTTAATTTTCACACGCCCATTGAACAATTGCCGAAAGCACGAGACTGTACATGTGGCGAATAAAGTTTTTCAATGATGTAGCGAGTATTTAGACGACGCACAGCATTATCGAAACAAACAATTTAATTAAATTAAAAACTTACAACAGAGAAAAGTCTAGGCAAATTACAACTACAAAACGAAACGACTCAACCTTCTCAGCATCAACAGTACGAGAACACGAAGCCCCCTTGTGACTAACAGAAAAAATGTAAATTACCTCAACATATCCCCTTTTAATTTACATTTTATTTTGGGGAAATAACATTTAAAAACTTTAAATTTTGGGGAATAACAATTTAGGAATTTATTTAATTTTATTTTACTCAGTATGTTAGTCAAAAAGGCAGCTATGTTGTTTTCACTGTTCAGAAATTGTAAGCTGAAACAATTGTGTCTTTAATTTCTCATTTATAAATCTCACTTGTCTTATGTAATTTGATTTATTTGATGTACTTTCACTTGTACTAATAAAAAATGCTGATTGATTATCATAAAAGATGGTAACTTTTTAGGATATTTTCTCACTGAGATCTTCTATAAAAAGTTGGAGATAAGTTCCTTTATAGCATTAACAATTGCTGTTATTTCTGCATCATATGCTGATAATGAGGTATTTAGTTGAATCTTTGAAGTCCAGCTAATAAGATTTGGTTCCAATTGATATGAATTTCGACTTACAGACCTTTGATCTTGTTTCTTTCCACATTTCCATGAGCATCACTACAACAAAGTAATTTTACATTACCATCGACATATCTTAAACCATAATGTTTAGTTTCCTGCAGGTATCTGAGAAGACATTTTAAAGCTCTCGTGAATTTCCCTTTTGCAAAGCCAAGGGAAATTCACGAGAAATTAAATCGAGTGATGTAGTCACAGGATTACAATTTTTTATATTATATTTCTTTAAGATGCGTTGGATGATAGTTTGCTGCTTAAAGGACGATTCACACATTCGGCGCGGCAAGGAAAAGCGGCGTCGCAAATGCATCTTCGCCGCGGCAGCACAACCACACAAGCGGCAATACGCTTATTTCGGCGCACGCTTTGAGTATTCAAGATGGCGAACGATACCGACACTGCCGCTATCCGCGTGTTTACAAATTTTGTTTTGTACTGTGCGTTTTGCTTTATTTAGCTAGAAGATTTTGTCGAAGATTCGAACGAAGATTTTGGATTAGAGTTATTTTCTTGGATCGAGAAAGAACTGGTATACAAAATACGCTTATTCCTGGATTAAGAAAATAATAATACTCTTACAATAAAGAATACTATTTCGAGTAAGATTCAATTAAATTAAATTTAATTCAAGATTAAATTATGTATGATTATTTGTGTAGAATTTATGTTAGATTTATTAACCTTTCCTCTTTATTTTAATGTTAGTTATCTCGGTTAACCGCGTTGAACTTTCCGCCATTAACACACCATGTCATTGTATTTTCTCACGTGACTATCAGACGAACTGTTATTGGCTGATAGAAACGCGTCTTGGCGGTGGCCGCCGCAAAAGATAGAATTCAACCAACTTTTGCGGCACGAGAAAAGCGATACAAAATCGACTTTTGTGGCGAGATAAAGTGACGTCATTCTGCCGCTTTTCGCTTTCCGTATGTGTGCACCCTCCTTAACAGTAACAATCTCTTTTGTATGAGTAATTTCCATTCGTAGTATGTTACCTGTATCAGCATTTTCTTTTAAACTAAACTGTTTACTGATGTTCTCTGTTACTGTACTTAATATTTTACCATCTGAGTTGATAACAATCTTGCCATTCACATGCAGATCTAAAATTAGCTTTGAATTATCCTTTTCATAACATTGGTCAGATCTAAAATTTTTAAATCCACATTTAGGAAATGATCTGTAACAGTCTGGGAACATATCCTGCACTTTGTTTTAATGCATATAATGCTTGATTTAATTTGCATACCAATCTTTTATTGGTTTGTGTGTACTCAAATCTTGGAGATTGTTCCATATATATGCTTTCTTTTAGCTTTCCATAAAAGAATGCCGTTTGTACGTCATAATGGGGAATACTGCAATTTTTCATAGCAGCAAATGCTATTAAACCTCAAAATTGTCTGCTTTCATTATTGGAGAAAAAGTGTCATTGTGGGCTAGACCAAATTTTTGAGTAGATCCAAGTGCTACTAATCTTGTCTTAAAATTACCGCCATTTGATGCTTTGTTTCTGGTAAATACCCATTTACATTTTATACGTTGTATAAAATGGTTATACGTTCTGGTAGGTTTAATACATTCCACACTTTGTGAGTTTGAAGAGAATTTATTTCCTTCTGCATTGCTTCCTTCCATTTTTGGGCATCAGGTCCTCTTATGGCTTTATCATATGTTTTCGGTATAAGAGATTGCACTCAGCACTAAGGACTTCATCATAAGGATGTTAATCTGGATTTTTTCTTATATCATCTTGGACATGCATATTATCTTCATCTGGAGAATCATAATAGTTTCTGAATCTGTTTTATGATCTCAAGTAGTGGAGGTCAAGTTCTTCATCAGTTTCATTGTACTCAGCGTCTATTTCTTCAGTATCCGACTGTTGTGTATCATAGAATTTTTTATCAAGCACATTCATTTCTACTGTGTGTTCACCTACAGGCAGTGGTGATATTCGAAATATTTAACAAAGGATTCGCTAACAGAAACTTTTTTCTTAACAATTTTTTTCCGCTTAAATGGTGCATTAGCAACATTAGCGCAAAAACTGACTTTAAGATACCCATATAAATAAAAAAGATGCGTTCGCAAAATTAAGTCAGTTAAAATTTAACATTTTTTATGCCAGAACTATATATATATATTTCTTTTTGATAAATAATAATAAAGAGTGTTCAAAATGGTTTATTTTGTACATATTTTATTACGACACGTGTTCCGCAGCTATTTTGTATTTTCTCGCGCGCGTGGGATTGTGGGATCTCTCTTATGCTGGGGTCGTATTCTGGTCACTGGCTTGTGAGATGGATGATTGGCTAATCCAAATTAGAGACCGTCTTGCGAGAGACGAGAGACCAGAGAAGGTGACCAGAATATGGCCCCTGGATCTAGTTTCAAGAACTCTCTTGAGTCGACCGCGGACTCTAGTTTAGTAGTGTTACAGAGTGTAATACGTATATTTTAATATAATAATTTTTAAAAGAAACAAAACCACTGAGAAATGTTACATGTGTTTAACAAGGTTAGGAAAACTTTGAAAATCTTAACAACGGGTTCTGCCGAACCTGTGCGAACCCGCTGAATATCACCACTGCCTACAGGTAAATTTAAATAATTCTCATTTTCTGTATTATTTAGAATTTCATAATCCTGAACCTGATTCCTTGTTACATATAACATTTCACTTCACTTTTCGTATTCTAAGAATTTAACATCTCTAGATTCTAAGATGTCATTTGTTATTGGATCATAAATACAACAGGCTTTCCTGTTGCTTGAGTATCTCATAAAAATTCCTGTAGTAATTGTTGGTTGGAGTTTTACTACTTCATGTTATATTTTTCCATGTTATTTACTCCGTTTTCAGGATTAAAGTGTTACCATTGATACTTTTTTCATTTCGTATTATGAAATAAATCATCCATTCTGAAATTTTATAGGGTTTCTTCATTTTCCATAATATGGCCTTCATTTTTATCAAAAATTACTTTTTTTATTGTCTTCAACCGATCTATTTATAGACATTAAACTTCTTGTCAATTGAGGAACATACAAGACATCCTTCATTACCAATGTCTGATTATTTTCTGCCTTTAATTAATGTAACTGTTCCAATCTTTTCTGAGTACATAGTAGAATTATTTGCAAGCTTTAGCAATCGATTTTTTTTATGTACAGTATATCATTCAGTTATTCTGGGTTAGATGTCTGGTTCTTTCTTCTCTCTGTCATTCTTTCTTTCGTGTTCAGGATGGCATGAGAAGTGAGTTCATATGTGGGTGGTAATGCTGACAGAAACAAAGACGAAGATTCTATTTACTAACAAACTCGTTTTGTAGTGAAGAAAAAAATAAAGTTTACAACTATACTCAAACGAGAAAATTGCGACACGTGACATTCCCACGGCTCGGCAGTTAGTTCTGATTCCCATGGAAAATTTTGTGGAACTATTAAGATTGTCAATCCTTAATGTGTTTTCTTTCCTGTGTTAAAAGGTTTTTAATTGCACTTGTATAACTCTTACGTAATAAAGCAGTTTTCCCTCTCTCTTTCTCACGATGGTCAGAGCATGAAGATGAATTTTCTCGTTTTACATTTTCTCTCCTTTTCGTCTTCAGTTTTACTCCAAACATCGTCATTAGGCTCTTACAGTAGTACAGAAAACAATCTGAATCGTATTACGAATCACATACAAGGATCGAATATAAAAATTGGTTAATATTTAATATAAAATTAAAAGTAAATACAGTACATAAAAGAAGTTAAAATTAAAACAAAAATACATACAAAACATACTGTACAAGTTAAAATTACGTTACATAAACGAGTTTGATTTTATCAACTATCCAAAAACTCAAAAATTATATAATGTAACAAACAAAAATAAATTAGGATATTTTAACGATGAAACTTTATCAAAACCAATAATTGAATTTTGTTCATTGAAACCAAAAATGTGTTCTTATACTTTTTCGACAATAAAAAAAACAGCTAAAGGAATTTAAAAATCTGTTGTTAAAACTTTCATTCATGAAAAATATAAGGTCGTTTTATTAAATATAGTTAAGATATCAACAATAAGAAATTAAAAGTAGTGGCAACATAACTTCAGAACGAAATATCTTTTTTCCCATTTTATGATAAAAATTTATTTCAGATAATGGGATAGGTACAATTTCATTTGATCATTATACCTTCTATTTTTAATTCTTACAGATTCTTTAATATCTTCATCTTTTCGATATGGATATTTAGTGTTGTAGAAGAAAAACAAAATACTGAATCTTACTTAATAAATGATGTTTGCAATAAAACATATCCTTGCCTAAAACAGTCAGGGAATAAAGAAGCATCATTAAAATTACCAAAAATTAAAGATATTAATGTAAATTTTTTGTAGTAAGTAATAAGATAACAATACCACTGTGCATGAAAAAAGTTTATAAAATGTAATTGTATTAATTGTAATAAATAAATATTTTTCTTAGAAATTATACTAAAAAATGTTTATCAATATTGTTGTATTTTGTAAATTCAATAACCTGTATTATACAAACATCGCTAAACCCGATATAATATAGCTAATCAGCAAACGTATGCCGTAAATCCATCGGGCTAGTTTAAGGCTAATTACTAAATGAATTACATAACCAATTTGGTTCTAGAGGTAAGCGTTAGGCGCCATCTCTTATTAATATAAATAATTATAAATAAAATTAATTACTTTATTATTTTTCTCCCAGCGGTTCTAAATTATTTAAATTAATTAATTTTATTTATAATTATTAATATTAATAAGAGATGGCGCCTAACGCTTACCTCTAGAACCAAATTGGTTACGTAATGCATTTAGTAATTAGCCTTAAACTAATCCGATGGATTTACGGCATACGTTTGGTGATTAGCTATAACCTGTATTAAAATATGTGCTGTATTTATACGTATAAAAAAATTAAAAAAATATATCCTAATACGGAATTTTTTTTCTTATCGAATACAAACACATTGTAGCAGTTGACTGGGAAAAATTATCGAGTTTCTCCAATAGATGAAAATAATATTAGATAAATAAATAATATTCAAAAATTATGTTAGTGGGATGTTATAAGTGAAAAAACCGACTTAACACGAGAGTTCATTTCTGAATTCGCAAATAATTTAAACTGATAATTAATATGGAAAAATTATATATTTCCTAGTTCATTAATCAAAAAATATTACACACACGCAAAATGGGGATTTAATTTCAGAATATCAAGTATTAAACAAAAAATTCATGAAGTGTTTTTCAAAATATCTCAATTAGTGAAATTTCAAATTCTCCTAAATAAATTTGTTAAGAAGTATATAGGTAAATTAGATATGAGAATAGTTCTAGATTTATTTTAGATTTATGCTCTATTATAAACCCGTGATTTTTATCCTCTAAATCTGTTTTTAAATCTACATCGAATTCTAAATCTAATTCGCGCATCAGTCGTTTGGGTCGACGATGACCAATGATGTAATTATTATGCATAGGATTAGTGGATCGTTTTTTATTGGTTATTAATCCCCTTTCTCAGTCCCAGATTGGTCTTTCTCTGTTACCAGGTGAAATTGAACCAGATCAGTTCTCAAGGAAGATGATTGTTTATGAATACAATTCGACACCGTGTTTTGTACAGTGTTAAATAAACCTTCTACCTTAACTAACATTTCCTTTTTTGTTCGTCTTGTCTAAAACAATTTAATTTACTAATTTTTCTCCTTTTTTTCGCATGGTTTTAAAATTAATATTAAAATAATCAATAGGATGACTATCACGCCAAAATATTGTATAATAAAATAAAGACACTGAGTTCAGCGTTACATGCATACGTTTTTTTATCGCAAGCACTTTCGATAATAGTTATATTTTATGCNATATTAAAATAATTTTATTTTTCCCCTTAATTTTAATTAATCACAAAGATGAAGATCCATTTTTGTTTGGATTTTTGATTAAAAACATGATTTTTATCCCAGCCCAGGGCCTCACACAAGGACGCAGTAGATGATTTTCACTACAGTGGTATTTTTACAATTTTTTCAAATTTTTGTACATAACAATTAAGAAAAAAGAACTAGGAAAATGATAAAATATTTTTAGCTCTTTTTCCTTAGTCTATGATAAATAAACAAGCGATTACAAAATTCGAAGAAGTACAGTATAATGTTGGAATTAACAATTAGTAATTTATCATTTTAGATTTTTTACGCATTTTCTAAGAATATGCGTGAATAAATCTAATTTAAAATTTAATTTCATTTCCTTTATATTTTTTAAGGTATCATATTCACTACGTATGAACAGACGTTTAGAGTTATAAGGAAATATTGATAAATAAGCATTAATTAGTCGTGGTAATTAGTTAATACATAACCCATACATAATACTTTTAGTTTTTGGTTGTGAATGTAGCAGTAAATTCGTTGGGTCAGGTAAGAACCAGTCAAATATTGAGGGCAGCAGGCCGAATGTTAATATTTTTCGTTGCAGATTTTATTTTAGTATTTATTTATCGTAGTAGTTATTTCATTGTTTGATTAATTACAATACAAAATTATTATATAATTTGCCCTACAATGAATGGCCTGGGTCTCATAGACGCACGCGAGTTTTGCAGTATATATTCGTTGTGTTTGTATATTAGACAGGCAATTCATATTACACATACTTTCTTACTCATGGTGGTACTACAAATTTATGTAAAATTCAAATTGAAAAGTTTTATTCTGCCGTGGCTAGAAGACAATTTGGGTCTGACAGATTCAGGTCATTCATTCGTGAAAGTCTTATTTTGTGCTTTGTATACATATAAATTTTTTATTTGCGTTGTTTGTTTACGTAATTTATTAGTTTTAATTAATGCTATGTGTCTAGTAAACAATTACATTATTACCATACGTGCTTTTAATTTCTGTAGAAACATTTATATTTTGCTTGCAGTGAGCATACTGCTGTATTACAATACAATGATTATTTTTAATATATCTTAGAAAAAAAGGCTTTTACATGGCATTTGAAACATATTCTGTAAGTATAATTGATGCTTTTTGGTATCTAAAAACCATCGTTGAAAAATACACACCAGTTTACTTGCATGGGTCTGTCAGACCCAGAAAATTCATTCCTGAGATTTTTTAAGGCCATTTGCCGCAGAATTAGTAAGTTTTACGCCTGATAATTTTCATTACAATCCTCTGTTTGTGGAAAAAAACGTAACGAAATTGTTCAGTTTGATTATATTTTAAAAAATATTATCTTTTATATTAACTTTTTAGTAGATATTTTAAAGGAATAACGATTATTTAATATTAATATAATAAATATAAATACAACTTTTTACAAAGAAAAATTCTTTGTTTCAGTCATTTTTTTCGTTGTTCACACCATCAGCAGTTCATTAAAAAACACAAATACTCACGGAGACGATCTTCCTTTTTATCGTTGGCCATGTAAACTTATTATTTTTACTTAAAATGTATCATGTGATTGTGGCAAGAACACCAGAGAACGCTTTTTATCATTTTTTGCATTTTAACTACAGAGGCAGTAGCCTAAAAAGGAAGGTCGTCTCCGTGAGTATTTGTGTTTTTTAAGGTTCTGTTTTTCATTTATTCTGTTTTTAATATAAAAATATATGCGTATGTTATACGCATATAATACAATTAACATTTTATTTAAAAACCATAAAATAAAATAAATGAATAAATAATTTTATTATTTTTAAAAATATATTTAATGTGTTGTAAAATTTTTTAATTTTTCTATTTTGATCTCCTTTAATTTCTCCCATCTTTTTCCTCTTCTTCTCCCTGTTTTTTACATAATTATAAACCATTCTAGAGGCTATGTTTGGATTTTTTTCTTTCGTGGTGGTGATGACGGAGGTGGTGGTGATGTTGCTGTTGCTACTCTTTCTTCAAAATTTTCATGATTAAATTCCAAATTTTAAGGTACTGATGAAGCTAAGAGTGTTTTAGGAAAAGGACTAACATTAGCTTTTAAGCCAGAAAATAGGTATATCATAGGTCTTCATGGAATTCTCAAAAGGGAAGTCGACCACTTCCAAATTTTTTCATCTAGTCTTTCCTCCTCCTACAAGTTAATATGAAATTTCGCCATTTCCGATTCCAATTATTGACAATGTAAAGAGCTGGTCATAAGGTAAAGATGCCTATTATGAGATAGGCGCCAAATATGAGATACCAAGGTTTTGGCCAAACTATTAACGGCAACTATTTGGCTCTAGTGTTTTCCGAAGCATCCTGGCAATAGTTCCAAACGTGTGTCAGTGCACGCTGGCCAGAGGTGCCGTTAGATCGTGGGTGTGCAGATTTTCACAAAAGCACAAAACAAATTTTTCGACATTAAATGTTTACGAGGTATGTAACAACGTTATTATTACGCTAAATTCTTTTAATTTACATTCATTGTATCAATTATACGGTCAATTTCACGATATTAGTGCAGTACTATTGTTTTCTTTGTCAGCAAAAAAAGTAGGCAGCCGTTTTGTAAAATTTGAATGTGTTCCCAATATGAGGCACATGAGGGTTCCTAATATGAGATATCTCATTTCATATATGAGGTGAAAGTATACGTATTAGTTTAAGTTCTTTTTTTATATATTTTAGATGGCCCCAATTAAAAGGAAAACCTGGCACCATAGTGCCATGATACGAGCCGTGGATGCAGTACGGAGCAATCAAATAGGTTACTTAAAGGCATCAAAACAATTCGGTGTTCCTAAGGATACCCCAGAAAAGGCCGGATGGCCAAGAGGTCACGGTGACAGCCTACCGCTCTGGGGGACCCGGGATCGAATCTGGACGGGTCAAGACTGTCCAGAATCTGGGGTACCCCTAGTATCTCATAATAGGAGACCATTTACCTAAGACGTGATTTCGGACTTTTTTCATTTTATCTAATATAACTAAAAATGTATTATGCTTAGGACTAAATAGCAATTATATTGTTAAATATATTAAATTCCCTATTCAAAATTGTAATTTGTAAAGCTCCAAGTGTAATAGTTATTTTTTTATAGTCAAAAATAAAAATGGTATCTCATATTCGGCATCCTTACCTTATATCCCTTCCCTTTTATAAATTCACATTGGACTTTCCTTATTTGCTTTGCAGTCAGCTTCTCAACTCTGTCAACCAACATTCGTGCAAATATTTTGCCTGGTATCCTCAGCAAACTTATGGAACGGAAGTTATTACACTCTGTCCTTTCACCCTTTTCTTTGTATATTTGAACAATAATAGCTTTTCTCTTGTCATACAGCACAGGGCTCTTTGCCTAACATGAATTGCAGAGTCGGAGCATTCATTCTTCCACATTTTAGCATTTCTGAAGTAACACCATTCAGTCCAAAACGTTTGCCATTTCGCATTTTTCTTATTGCATTTCTAACCTTACTTCGTTGAATAGGGCCATATCCATCACATATTCATCTACATTTACCTCTGTAACTGTTCCTGCATTCATGCTATGTCCACTGCCCCTCAATAGACTCTCAAAATATTCACACTACTATCATGCACCTTACATTTTTCCCAGGGAGCGCACCATTTGCACTTCGTACACAGGATAGGCATTTCTTTCTGTTATCGCGTATACTCTTCATTTGCTTCCTGGAGAGATTTTTTATTTTCATCAAATGTCCCTTGTAACAGATCGGTCCTTGCTTAATCACTCATGCAGCTTCTCGTTTCTTCGCTCTGTACTCCTCACTCACACTGTCATTCAGTTGGCTCATGTATGCAGCATTTTTCTCTTGTACTGCTTGATCAACTCTATCGTTCCACCAAGCAGTCCCTCTCTCAAGGTCCACTCTCGTTACACCAAATACTTATTTTGCTGCTTTGGAGGAGGTTTGAAAGCGTTACCAAGATTGAAAATGCTTCTAAACCTCCTTTACACCATTCAACTCCTAATCCACTTTCTCCAGTTTCAACTGAATTTGCTCTCTATACTCATCTTTTCTACTTATCAGGCACACTCTTTTCACTCGCTGCAGATCCATTGCTTTCTTTGTTTCGCCATGCAATCTTCAATTTCACTTTCGATACTACTAAGTTCCATGTTAGTCAGCTCTTCTTCTATAAATATTTTATTTATAAATTAATTCTGTTAATATGTATTAATTTTATAAACTAATTTTTAAAGTCAGTACAGGACATAAGGATAATATGATGTAACAAATAATGCCATTGAAAATAATGTGAGAACGGTAAAGCCAACTTTTATCGAGTATAATATTTTGTCGTAATGAGTTATGCTTAAGTAAATGAGTTTAAATCTAAGTTGATATAAAAAGTTTTTCATTTCAGTCATTTTCAAGGTTATAATTCACGCAATTATGTTCGCTTTTCTAAACGAAATTGTAGCCATGGAATTGGAGACATATTCCTGGATACTGGATACGTGTGGATGCATCACTACCACAGTTCTGAATAAACCGTATTTACTGAGTGTATTCTTTGTTTTTATATTCTTGATCTACATCTCGTTATTAGCACACAACAGAGTTGTGTGCTAAAGTAAAAATACGCAGTATTTGAATGTAAAACTTTGTTTGTTTCAATAATAATGTTTATTGACGCAGGACATGACAGATATTGGTTATAAAGATTTAGGAATATGTGCAAGAAAATTATATATAAAACGATTACAGCTATTGAATGAAACAAAGAGATTGAGAATTCAGCATAAAGTTCCTCCTGTATATCCAAATGGGTGGATACCGTTGTTAGAATCCAGAGATCTGACTTTTGGGGAGAGCAAGCCTGTGACTGCTCTAGGTAACGTATTTACTATAAAGATAATACTGATCTAAGACAAGGTTTATTAATCTTTTTTGTTCCATGAACCCATTTTCTACGTTGATGTTTACGGACTTCTCGGAATAAAATTTTTATATTCATAAAATAAAATTACAAAAAACCAGTAATATAACAATACATCTATTTAAAAAAACTTATGATATAGTAATATATGTGCTTCTTCCTTAACACAACAATTAAGAATTTTATAAAATAACACAAAATTAAGATAATAAGTTAATCTTTACCCTTCGAATTTCATGGCAGTTGAAAACTTTCTGGAACCCCTAGTTATGTAAACATATTAAGACATTATAGAGGTTTTTTCCTGATATTATAGATAATGATAAATAAATCCTATAATATGTTATGAATAATTGTAGCTTATTTTCAAACATAAAATATTTCTTACATTTCTCATCATATTTAAATTATGGTTTGTTTCTGTTTATTTTTTGATTCCAAAATCGACATTTCTTGAAATGAATCAATGTATATGAGTAAACTTAATATAGTTATTTTTGACAAAATTATTATATTTTACTCACAATAATGAATTTAAGACTTTGATGGAATGATAGAATTTATCTTGTAGCATTTTAAGCACAAGCCTTAAATTATTTTATAATATAGTATACCGTAATATGAATTGTTATTAAATAATTTAACTTTTATAGTAAAGAAGATAAAAGATAATATGCCTCAAACACTATTGAATCATTTCTATTATCTCTGTGTAACACAACATAATATGATAAATATTTGACAGTCTAAATTGATTCAGTAAAAATATTTTTGCTTTATAACAGAAATTGAAAATAACTAATATACATAAAGGACATTAGGGTAAAAGATGTTCCAGTAACGAGTTGCGTAAGTTTCTCGGCAACAATGAAAAAATTTGAAATGTTGGAATGAAATTATAATTGAAATGAGGTTGAAATGAGTTGAAATGAGTTTTATAAAAGAATTGTAATGCCAATTACGAAAACATTCTCGTCTAACCCCATTCAAAATATGACAAGTGACTCTCGTTCTCTCCACTATGATCTTTCAACACGAAAACGTGTTGAAAGATCAATCAGAGCACTCGATCAATCAGATCACTCGATCTTTCAACACGTTTACGTGTTGAAAGATCGAGTGAAGAAAGTATCATCGTCAATGTCCCAATATATATATCGGGGTTCCCTTTTGTATGATGTTATGATATATAGAGTTTTCGTTTGTAAGATATATATATATATATTGCATTTCTCCACGTGTCAAGGTCTTGTCAGTGCAAAAATGTAATAAAACTCTTGCGGAGGGAATCGGTTATTGACCGATCGCCAGACTCTCTCTCTGTTATATATAACAGTTATAGAATAATTAATGACTGAAAGTAGACCAAATTTTGCTGAAAATATAACCGTTTTGATGTATGTATAGAAATTAACTATTCAATTGTATAGACAATGATTACAAAATGTTCATTTACATAATGTAAATTTATAAATCAATAATGAATTTTTGAAGTTTTATAATTAGAATTATTTTAATCATCCTACAGGTCAGCAATTCGTTATATTTCGTGGAAAAACAGGCAAATGCTTTGTTTTAGATGCTTATTGCCCTCATTTGGGTGCTCATTTAGGGCTGGATGGCAAGGTTTACGAAGATTGCATCGAATGCCCATTTCACGGATGGCGATTCTCTGGACAGGATGGTTCCTGTGTGAAGATACCTTACGCCAAAAAAAGTAAAGCTTATTCAAAATTATATATTTAGTACAACAGTGTAAATTAGATGGAAAGTATTTAACATTTAACAAAGCAGAAACGAAATCTTTCCAGCATTGCACGAGCATAGGCATATTGCGCATTAGTTCCATTGCGAATTTTACAGTAAAATAGATTAATTCATTCAACAGAAGGAATGGATAAATCGCATTGTACTTACGCAACAATATGTAAAATAACAAAAGTAAGAACGAGATGCAAATTTAAACTTGATCAAGGAAAATAATGTCTCAGCACAATACTGTCCACATTTCTATCAGAGACAACATCACGAAATCTGCAAAATGGTACAGCAATGTGGCAATGCCTTATGAGAGTACTTTCGAAATTATTGTAAAATGATAATTTTATATAAGCAAACGAGAAAGAAATGCAAGCGAAACACATAACACTAGAGGCGTATTACACTGAACGAACTGATATGGTATATGGAGTGAGCAGCTTTTTGGTACGGTATTCATCGATGCCACCCTGATCAGTGACAAATATCTACATATCTTATACATGACAATAGAGGAATTGCTAAGTCAATTGTCATTTAAGAACTGAGGCATATTTGGTAACAACGGTGTGCTAGGTCATTCTCGAACGAACGTCAGTTGCTCAGCGCGATTTGGCAGACGATAGATAAAGCAACTCGTCCTGTTTCATAGCAATCACATTCTCCAAACTGTTTTTTTTTGTATAGTCACGCAGCACCACTGCGTCAGTTGATGAGCTACACAGAAGAATGCAAAAAATGGATAAATCGGTGACGTCAGTATATACTATGCATGCCACCATATTGCCATTATCAACTGTTTAATACATTATACTGCCGTTAAACGTGGTCGTTTTAAACGTGCAATATAAGGAAACACTTACAAGCTAACTGTTTTATATTAATTTATACTGAAATTGATTTTATCGTTTTCAGTTAACAATCCTTGTTCGTTCTATTAAACTTCCTTAAACTGATTTCCTTCCGTTATCTTTCGCTCCGAGAGATATTTGAAAATCTGGGTATTGACGCACAACAGCGTATTAAAACATTTTTTCAGAAAAAAATTAATTTATTTTACTGTACAGATTGCAGTGGAACAAGTTGACCATATGCGTATACACTTGCAATGTTGTAAAGATCTTTTTTCGCACCTGAATAAATGTTGAAGTAAATAACCTGTACACATTTAAATTCAGTTTCTGAAGTGGCTAAAATAAAAAGTTGGGAAACAATAGAGCAAAATGGATTTATCTATGTGTGGCATCATGCAGAAGGCCAACCACCACTATGGAAACCTCCAGTTATACCAGAAATAGAAAAGGGATCATGGCATTATAAAGGACGTAGCGAACACATTATTAATTGCCATATTCAGGTATTTATTATCTAATATTTTGTTGAAGAAATGAATTGTTTATTTATAATTTATTTCTGTATTGCAGGAAATCACGGAAAATGGAGCAGATTTTGCTCATTTCAATTGCCTACACAAATTTGGCATTACGGCTGGAATAATTCTGCATCCAGAAAATTGGTGGAAATTTTTTCAAAATATATGGAATTTTAGCTTCACTCAAATACCTGAACCAAATTTTCATTGTTCCAAATATATAGGTAATACTGATGTTAAATTGTTTGGAATATCTGTTGCATGGACATCATTTAATGTTCAACAGGTAATTATGAAAATAGAAATATACGAAAGGATTATTGTACACCAAGTTACTTAGGTTACATTTTAATATAAGTAAATGATCTATTTAAATTTTTTTTAGCGATTCAATTCTAATAGATATTACAAACGTAACACAAATGTTCATTAAAATTCTTGTATTTAATGCATGCTAAATAAATTTTAAGCATTGCGAATAAAAATAATAAATTATAGAGTTAGGATTAGAAATTTTTATAATTATAATAATTTTATTTGGGCATACTGTGATGAAAATCTGTAATAATATAAACCTATCGCATTACAAGGGTTTAGATTGATATTTATATATTATTTGTACCAAAATATTTTAATTCGTACATTTGACTTCTACAGAAATGTTCACAATGGCATGGAATTTCCTATCTGAACAAATATTTTATTGAATATATGAACTTTGTAATTTTCGACTGCAGATAGCGCTGTTTAGATTTTGATGTTATGTTTTGATATGAAAAAAGTAAGTTATAAAAATATTGATGTACAGTGACACGAGTAATTGCAGAGGGTTACGTCTGACCATAGAGAGGATTGTGGAGAGGAAGGACTTTAGGAAGGATCTATTAATTATGATAAGATAGTGGACGTTTATATCAGTGTTGCGGAATATGGTGTCTTTATACAGTGTGGCGTGACCTTACAAAATGTTTGTGGTTACAGATACATATTATAAAAAGTAAAGAACTTTCTGTTTCAAAAGTAATTACGAAAATTCAAATCGATTCTGTTTTCTATTCATAAGCAGTGGCAAGAATTGTTTTGAATTTTCTTCATTTTTAACACAATGCAAATTACCTAGATGACAAAAATTGGTGATTTACATCGTCTTAAACACTTACAAAATTAAAACCATTTTAACTTGCTTTTTTCCAACACTGGAATGTTTTTGAACTTTAATGTTGAATGAATCCATATGTGTATTATTCATTTCTTTTTTAATTTTAAACAGTGCATACAGAATCTAAATTCTTGTCTTTATTGGTATTTATACAAAAAAAAAAAGTTTGTAAGGTATAGTATTACTAAGGAACTGTAAACTGTTTATGGCCAATTTATCGTAACGGAAATACTAAGAACGATAATGTTGATTTTATAGTTATGTCATTTTATAAGGATTTAGTAGGATTTCGATACGTTACGAGGCATGGGAAAGCAGTAAAAAGGCGAAAAAACCGGTTACCTAATTTATGAAAGCACTTTAGTCTTTCTGTTTGTTTTTATTCCTCCCGCACTCTAGGCACTAATGGATTTTTTCGACGATGCCCGTCATGAGTTCGGCCATGACCACAAAGGAGGGCGCCCTAGGGGGAGGATGGGACCCGACATGTTTAGAATAGACCTCATGTTGACGCTACTGTATTTTCTACTTAAAACGAACCCGGATTCCTCAAATTGGCACCCACAGGTGGCCGAGTAGATGAAACACAGGTCGTGAATTCTTCGCGTCGCAATTTGTTCTGAAGCTGTTACTTGTGCAGTAATGCATATGTGACGTACAGTAAGACCCCGTTTAACGCGAGATATGCGTTCCTAGACAACAAAGCGCTAAGCGAAACAGCGTTAAACGAGGTCATTTTAACATAAAGTAAATAGGGATATGGGAATACGCGACCAAAAATTTTACTTTAATTTTAAGTTATTTTTATATTAATTTGCATAATAATGTATGTGAAATAACACATACACATATGCACACAGAAATGTAAAGTTCATTTTTTGTGTGGAAGGTCCTGACTTTTCTGAAATTCTTGTCCTTTTGCAATAAAGTGTGAAGTTTCATTGGTCGCTTTCTTTTTCTTTCCTTAAGCAAATGTCGGTAGCAGAAGATTGCATCCAAAACGCCTCGTTTTGCTTTTGCACTCCTTTCAAAATCTAGATCATTCGCTACAATTTGATCAATGATTTCGGTTATCTTACCAAACTTTTACTAAGGAAAACTGTAGAGAAATTCTTTGGGTTCTTCGTTTTCAGAATCTCTATTTTCCAGTTCTACACGAATTCCTTGTTCTACCAGTTCTTGAACGTCGTCGTTGGTAAAGCTGTCACCAGAAACCTGCAGTAACTCCTCAATATCCTGCTCGTCTACATCTCCTAGTCCCGATGTATCGATTAGGTTGACAATTTGATTAACCTAACGATAGAGCGATAGGCTCTTCTCGTTGAGAATTCTTGGATACCTTCAGCCATAACTTCTTCCGTTCGTGCATTTATCAGTTAATTCTTGCCAAACAAAGTCGATATTTCCTATGGCATCCATGATGATATATTTTTTCCAAAATTGCACAAAACAAACATAGATCTAAAAGAAGTACAACGCTACGACGAATTGCCATCTTTTGTTGATTGGTTCGTATTCGGGAATAATCATATTATCAATATATACGAATCAATGAAATGCCAGGTTAATTTGAATCAGCGTAAATTTTGAGCGTTTTTTTAGGTTTCGAGCAAACCGCGTTTTATCGAATCAGCGTTAAGCGAGATAGTGTTAAGCGGAGTCTTACTGTATTTATAAACATTTACTAGGTAATTGGTTAAACCAATTATCTAGCAAAAGTCGCCATTTACATTTCCAAACTGTAACTGATCGAAATTACTTTTAGAAGCCATAGTCACAAATACGCAGAAAAAGAAAGAAAGAAATTAATATACTTAGTTATAACTAGCTTAAAACTAATTCTGAAATGTTAAAATGTGTTTTTCATCAAAAGCGTTAATACAGAGATAATATAGGAATGACGTGAGCTATTCTATAGCTATAACTAGATATTGTTTATTCATTTTTGAATTAATGAACTACAGATTTAACCCTTATCAGCCACGTGGTTTTTGTGTGACACCAAGCGCTGTAGAAGCCGAAAAATACGCGGAAATAACAAATCAGCGCATTCGGTCGCTACATTCAACACAGCAAAGCAAAACTTTACCAAACAGCTCTTGTTAGTTTAATGAATTATTTTTTAATATTTTAGAAAACTGTACAACATTATATCAGATATATTAATTGTTACTTTCCTTTGAATACGAGGATATATTCAAATATCCAGCAAAAGGTTGCGTAACTTTCCTGGCCAAAGAATTTAAAGTTGTGTATGGCGCCGTATGTTACCAGATTTTATTAAAAACTTTTTCTGTTATTTATTATTGTAAAATGGAAAAAGCTTGCTTCTGAGAATAGAGACGAGTTGTATATTTAAAAAAATATTAATACAAATTTCATGAAGGTCAATTGTGTATCAAACATATCTACAGAGAATATGTTTTGTTGTATTCTTATTCTCTGTAGATAAGTTAGAGTGATTTATTTCCTTCATTTTACAACTTTAGATTCATTTTAATAGAATCATGTAAAATTTGCATTATTTGTAAAAATATAAAACTTTCCACGACAGTTTTTTTGCATTCCATTAAACCGAGTTTTTATTATAATTTAGTATTATGATTAATACTTATAATACAATTTTTAGTTTTTATAAGATAAAAATGTTGTATAATACATGGCGGATGTAACCCAGAAAATAGTTTTACTATCTATTTGCACCAGTGTCTTGGATTTTACGACATTCGGCATTTAATAAGGATTTATTAAAATAATAATTTTAAAAAATGTGGCTGCAAGAGACCATTTACAAAAATAAATTGTTGAAGAAAAAATATTCGGAAAAAATATGATAGAAAAGTTGTGAACAGTAAAATCGTCTGAAGAAAATCATGATTAAATTGTCCGAGACAGAACTGCCTAGGAAAGAATTTTTTGGAGAATCGTCTGGAGAATAATACTACGAAATAAAATACTTCGGAGGGCATTCACTAGTCACAATAAAAGATTTAGTTTAAAATTGTCACGAACTTTTTTTGTCAAAATCATAAAAGAAAATACAAACGGCGAAACCGAAAATCTATAAAGTCTTGAATTTTTGATAAAATGCGCCAAGTTCCTCCTATACTATTTGAAATAACATAGTGAAATTAACGAAACTTTAATAAAGGCAAAACTATTATTAAATGTCGAAAACTACCATGATAGAAAATATACCATGTAGGTTAATCACGCAAATGTAATATTACCTCGTTGGAGACATGACACTCATTTGAATATAACAATACAGCCCAACCCAACTATATGACTATACAGAATTTCATTTACCGACAAGGCTAACTTTACAAAATGTAGCTTTTTGTATCAGTTATCCTATTGAGCATACGTGTAAAATTTGCATTCAGCAATGTATGGCCTGCACGTGAAATGTGAGGCTACTTTCCGACAGCCTTACATTTCACGCGCACACCACATATTGTTAGGAAAAGTATTAAAACCACAATTTGAGAATTTTTTTCTTCTAATTGATATACTCAATTTGATACTAAACTAACATTTCAGAAGCGTAGACTTAGTTTCAAAAGCTTCTTAAACGATTTGACACTGTTTATTAACAAGAATAAATACTATAAACAATTCGAGAATTAAAAGAGAGTTTCTTATTGGAGCATTTCCCTGCTTGCTTGAACATAACCGCCACACAAAAGATTGAAATGCATCTATAAGCAAATAATTCCTAATAATGAGTTTTCTATTATAGCCTAATCGAATATTAATTTTTTTCAGATTGGCCCAGCAATATTTCATACGTATTTGAAAAGTTCTCTCGGAAGTGGAGTATTTGTTCAATGTATTATACCCGAAGGACCATTTCGACAGAGATTCGTCCGCCATTATTACTCTCCTTATCGATTTTCAACCTTATTTGATCATATTAGCTTGTTTACGGAATCTCATATGGTGAGATAATTATATTCCAAACAGGAAATTCGAAAATATTTGTTAAAAATGTGCATTAATGCTTGATAAAAATATTATTTTGAATAGATCGAGCGTGACGTTCGCATTTGGAACTACAAAATGTATTGGAAGAATCCAGTTTACGTGTCAGAAGACAAGAAAATTGTCAAATTTAGAAAATGGTACGCTCAGTTTTACAGCGAAAATAGCCCCAAGGCTGAGGAAGAGGATCTTAATTGGTAATTTGAAGTAAACTCAAATTTTATAAGATTTATGAATAAAATGAAATTAATTAAATTTCAACTTTGCAATATTAACTAACTATTAACTTTTATAATTGTATTTTACGACACAGTGCTAAAAATTTATGTATTACTCGAAAATTTTAATATTTCATAAGCACCATTTTGTTATTTGTATTATGATATTTACTCGAGTTGTTTGAGCTATAAAGTAAAAATAAAGAAAACTGTTTTGTATCTAAATAAAATAATGTTGCTTGTTTTAATGGCGAATGTCATACTAATTTGAGAGAGTCTGTTTACGAATATTAAACGTCAATTTTCGTTCAATGTCGAAACAGCTTCGAATATAAAACCATTAATTAAGAAATATGACATTATCTCTTATTCATGAAATGCTTGTTTCTCTTTGAACATAAAATTGGATGAGAGATATACCACATAATTAAATAGTAAATAGGGATAATCAGATCCGTAACTAGGCAGGAGCACACGCAAACTGCTGTTCACAAGAAATTATATTTTTAAATTTTAAATTTTTCCGCCTTTCTACAGCGCAGTTTGGCGATTACATTTCGCCTTATTAGACCCTAGATGTCTGCTCACCAGTGTTCCGAACTGTGGCGACTTTTAGAGGGACGTAGTAGGGGCGTACCGTGGGTGTCAGCCACTCGGGGCGGAGGAAAATTTCGGCCTCCCCCTTATTTAGGTATTTCAATTTAAAAGACCAAAATTCAGTTTTGTCACAGAACATGCAATGAAAAATTCGGTGATAGTACAGCGACCTCTTTAAAATAGTTCTATTGGATATTAGTAGTGTATATAAACGCGAATGAATCGTACAAGCAAAAATAAAAAAAAAAGGTTAACAGGTTTCGCAGGATTTCCTCAGATGAAAAAATTATTAGTTCACCCGGACGGCTAGCCGGTTCCCGGACTGTCCGGATGATAGCACTATCGTAGGCGCGATGCAAGTATAGATTAGGATGTTTCAAATTTTTACAAGATATTATTATTATTTATTGTGAAATTTTGCCGCCCCCTAAAAAGTGCCGCCCGGGGCGGACCACCCCTGCCGCCCCCACTACGGTACGCCACTGAGACGTAGTGAGGTAGCGGAGACTTCAGACAAATCAGCCATCCACTGTAAATATTGTTTTAATAAAGGCGATGCGGGCGCCCATGGGGTCCTGTGGGGGCCTTATGGTTGCTTATTTCACACTTTCCTATCTTCCTTTATTTCCTCTTCTCTCTAACTCTTACTTTCTTTTACTCTTCCTTCCTATTCATACAGGGGTAAAGTCTGCACTAAATCGCAGATAGCCCCTCTTGTCTTTTATTAGAATAGAATAGAATAGAATAGACAAATCAGCCAAAAGTAGCAACTTTTGATATTTTTTAATTTATTTTTTGAGAAATTTAAATTCATGTTTATAGTTTTCAAATTTACAAATTTTTCTCTACTTTATAGAGCTCTCTGGCAACTAATAATTATAAATTATTACGATATACAAACTGTATTTCTAGATTTTTCTACAGCGTGCAGAGCTAGAAATCTGTAAAGGTAACATTTTATAACAAAAATAAATCTGCCCGAGGAATTTTTTAAAATTACTAAATTGAAAATGGTAACTCCCGAATAAAGTCTTAGTCTCGAGGTTGTAAAAGGCGTGCAGAAATTCTGACATCATTTTTTTGTTTTATAGTGGGACGCATATGTGGTATATACCTGAACGGCGGATTAAGCGGTAAGCGAACTATACGGACGCCTAGGGCCCCGAAGAAGCTCCCGCAGTCTTTAAAATGCTACTGAAAAAGGGGATTGCGAAAACGCAGAAGATAGGAATAGTCCAGAAAAACGCTTCGATATATATAGATACATGGAAGTAATAAATGATATAGCTTTATGGCCAACAATATTAACGGATGCTATCATATTCTTAAAACAAACCAAAAGGTATAGAAAAATGCATTCCATTAAACCGAGTTTTTATTATAATTTAGTATTATGATTAATACTTATAATACAATTTTTAGTTTTTATAAGATAAAAATGTTGTATAATACATGGCGGATGTAACCCAGAAAATAGTTTTACTATCTATTTGCACCAGTGTCTTGGATTTTACGACATTCGGCATTTAATAAGGATTTATTAAAATAATAANACTAAATTAAATGATGGAGTAAAATATAAAACTCAAACAAACAATAGCAACAATATTTTGCAAAGATATTACAATAAGAGCCGTGACAAATATAATAAATATATTAATCAGTACGCATAAAAAATTGAATTTTGCACATTTTTAAGAGTTATTATGCATACAGATATTGTACAGTACAATACAGTACATACCTGTAATGCTCTGAAATGAAAACATTTTAGATTCATATTCTGCTGCTAGATAAGTATTAAATGCTATATTTGCTATTATTAAATAATAGATGCTAGATGATATTTCATTATAAAATTCATTTCAAAAATTGCGCTATGCTTAAATATTTTTTTAAATTGCTTTATACAACCAGAAATATTATATTTATATAATCTCATCATAATAAACTACTATAAAATGTGCTAACTTTTATAAAACATTGATATTACAAATTAAATTATAAAATATTAATGTAGTGGTCTTCGACATTTCTTATTCTTATCTTTCATAAATTTGCATTGGTACTGTATAATTGATAATATATACATATAACAATCAATAAATTTTTGAAACTTTTAACAAATTTTATTTAATTCGTACAAAAATACGCATTTCATACTTATAAATAGAGACAGAATTATTTGATTTTCGAAACTATTAAGTTATAAAGCAAGTCGGAATCGATGATATCGTACTGTACAAATTTGTTAAAAAAGGAAGGATAATTTATTTATCAAATTAAATATTGTTCTGCTTTTAAAAAATTATGCAAATTTGCAGAATTTTCTTAAATTCTTTCAAATTGAATTCCAATATCACGAATCATATTCTCCACTTGAAGACTGTCTTAAAAAATAAGCAGATTTTTTTTCACTTTTCGTAAGTTATCGCAAGTTGTTTGTTCCTTAAAAACCGATATTGGGAACCATTAATTACTGTTAGGTAAATAATGGTAAATGAATATAGATAAACACAAAGCTAGATAGGTTCATAATTATAATTAATTATATAATTAACTCATTCATCCCACTAATTACGAGCCTGTTGATCACTGCATTTTCGCAAATCTTGGAATCAAACTGGACAGAGCCATTCTCATTTCCTTCTCTACATTGATGCAATGCTTAGTTTTTATCACAGTGACAAACTCAGCTTCGCACAAATAAACCGCAAATGGAATTAAGATTCTCTGAGCTTTACCACTCAGAAGAGGATATTCATCTTTTACTGATATCCAAAATTTAGTTAATTCCAGTGATAAAAATTTAGCTAAATTTTATTTTCAACGTATTGTGGCAAGACAACTCAATAAGATTCTCTTCTTTTGAAGCATTAAATAGATCTTGAATCCATGCGAATTTATTATCCATGCGAATATTATCCATTAAATTTATTATTATTTATTATGCATATTATCATTTTGAAATATTTCAGCAACTAGGTGATAAGTTGTGATGAATGTTCTTCAAAAATAGATTTTATATCTCGAGAGAAATCAACTCCACTGGTAGTCAAAAACTGTTGCAACATGGGAAAATATTCTTTTCCCCTGTCTTCATTTATTTTTCTTTTCCATAGTTTTAATTTATTTTAATAAAAACTGAAATTTTCTCAATCGACTTTAAAAGATGCATGTTGCTTCCCTATAGAGAGAGATTCAGAGCATTCAGGCTTTCAAAAATATCACACAAGTATGCTAGTTTTACCAAAAAATCTTCATTCACAAAATTTTTGGCATACTTGTGGTCTTTCTTTTTAAGAAAAATACAAATTTCCTGTCGCAGTTCAAACGTACGAGACATAACATTATCCGGAAAAAGCCATCGCTGTCGAGGTAATGTTTTGTACTTTCTCGAAGTGCTGTAGTACAGACGTGTGCTCGGATTTCACATCCTCACATAGTTTTTTTTTAAAAATCTTGCCTTCAACGGCCGAGTTTTTATAAAGTTTACTACATTTACTATATATTCTAAGACCTGATTCAATATAGGACTCAGATATTTTCATGCGAGTGCTTCCCTGTGAATAACGCAACGTGTCCACAGTGCATCAGGGTCTTTGCTCCAAAAAAGTGTTTGCAAACCTTCATAACACCTGGACATAGAACGAGCACCATCAGTACAGATACCAATGCATTTGATCCACTTCAAATTATTTCCGGATATAAAAATATCAAGGATCTCAAACAAGTCTTGAGCCTTAGCAGTAGCAGTGATATTTTTACAAAAGAAAGTCTTCTACAACGTTATTACTATCTATAAACAGTACATAGAAAATTAAGTGAGCATCATTATTATTATCTGTTCCTCATCCAGCTGCAACCCAAATTCCTTTCTTTTTATTTTTCAATTAACTGAACATTAGAGGTCCTTCGCTATGTGCCCTATTCTGTGACTGATAGTGTTATTGGACAAAGGCACTTTTGAAAGTTGTTTTCCAGCAGACTCATTGATCATAATGTTCACTATATCTACAGCAGCCGATAGAATGAGTTTTTCTACGATGGAATGATGCTTTTTACATTTTGCCATTCTATGTGCCACCTTTATGACTACGTTAATGCTTTGTACCAAGTCTGTTAGATGTCGCATCTTATCCCATTGAATTAAAAGTGAAAGTAAAATTATGAAAATTTTATAATATTAAGTGGCGCCCCTGTGAGGAAGCCGCGGCTCCCTAAAACACCGTAGCTCCCACTTTGGGAACCGTTGATTTATATTATTTGTCGGTTCAATCATATAAGGAATTGTTGTGCGATTATAATAAATATGACTGTATTTAAAATTTTATTACTAAGATAAACGGTTAATGGAAATTAATTTGTTTAGTTTAACATGATATTATTTATTTTCAGAGCTGTATCCATCAGGAGAGATGTATATACGCGTATATAGTAGCATATTAGTGGCTGATTCAGTGTTTGAGAGTTGGCAGCGTTTTTTGTTTGGCGGTTTTGGTCGTATTATAATTAACAATTCATTTAGTTTTTTTTAAAGTAATTTAATTGTTTAATTTTTATATAAAAATTTTTCTTTTAGAACTTTAGTTTGCCTCGACTGTTCGCTGCCACTTTTGTGTATATTTTTGTTTCTGTTTTGATAGTTATGATTATTATTGTTGTCGGTGCTACTTGATATTGTTATTATCACTGTATTGCTTTTTTAACAGGCTTATTATTATACGCTGTATTGTTAACATTCTGTATTCAATACTGGAATTGATATTGGGAATTGTAATATATATTTTTTTCTTTCTTTTGTTGTACGCCCGTACATAAATGGTTTCCTTGTACTACTAAATAAATATAAAATATAATAATCGGAAAAAATTCCTCCCTCCCTGATAAAATAGATATGGATTAGTAGAAGGAAGTATGACGTCACAGGACGTGGAAATTCACGCGACCACGCTTTTTCCTCTACAAATTTTGAAATGAAAACAAAAAGTGAACGAGCAATTACCTACCGTAACGTCGTCACAACACCGAGCTGCAATTTTTCGTCACAATGCTTTCGATTTTAGTAGTGTCTTGCCCCGTATATCATACTTTTTCCGAAAACAAGAATCGTGCCGATTATCTTTCTGACTGTGTTTGGGAGAAAGCTTTTGAATTGAAATAAAATAAATTCCTGTCCAGATCGGAAGTTTGTATATAGTCAATCGGGCCTCCTGACTCTAGGCTTTTAATATCTGGTCTCGACATTCATCTTACTCCGAACTTCGAGAAATGCGAAAAAGTCGTGTTTTTTTATGTGCGAATTTAACTGTGTTTGGGGGAGGGGTGAAATGATATGATTCATTTTTTTTTCTAGATAATAAGCAGCTGACTGCCTTTTGACTTTACATCGTAAAAAGTAGTGATAGTTTTTCTTATTTACGAAAAAATTCCCAAAAGGGTTATAAACAAAACTTGCCTCGATTAATTTATTTACGTCTGTAACAATTTATAAACGTCTGTAACAATTAAGTTAAATAAATTTAAAATATGACTAAAAACTGCAACTTGGCAGTGTGACGATGTCACAATAAAATAGTTGTTCGTATTTATTCTGTAATAAATTCTTGCAATTTTTATGTTTGTGAAAAATGAATAAGAGGTGTTAGCCAGGAACACACATGCGTAAAATTGTGTGGCAGTAAACTGAATCAGAAATCGGCTTTCAGTTCAGTTTTCTGTTTTACGCTTTTATGCCAGAACACACATACGTAAAAATTCTGGCCGAATAGGAAACGCCACTGCCACTAACAGTGCTACATTTTATTAATGTTTTTTCTCTCATATTTCTATCCCTTTTGTATTTTCCATTTTTTCTCCGCTTCCTCTGCTACAATATAGAAAATTTAAATTAATAGACTTGTATTCCGAATTCAAATAAAGAACGTGTGATTTAAATACTAGGCCTGTATGTCTATTCTACTAGACCTACCTGTTATTTGAAATTTAGCACTATAGCCATCCATAAACGTTGTTTAAAATACAGTGTCTTTGTATATGACATTGAGGTGGTCGAATGGATTTAATAAACTCCTCTATTTCATTTATTTTTTGTTTTTTCGAGATCGTCACAATTGTAGGGTTAATCCTCATTGCCACCATTGTTAGAATAAAAACCACGCGTGTACTTTGACATCACAAAAATAGACTTCTCTTTTATTGGAGGAATTTTGGCGTAAAAAGTAGACATGCTCTACTTTTTTTTCAGTTATGTTTCAGCCAAAATTTCAGAAAAATGTTTACGCTTTCTGTTTTATGCTAGATTTTACGCCGAATTTTACGCATGTGTGTACCTTTACGTTCGTGTTGCATATGTGTGTTACTTCTGTTTGACTTTTGTATTGAAACAGGTTTAGTAGCTCACAACGTGTGAATGCTCCACGTTCACGAAGAATTCTATAATGCAGAACAACGTGGAAAAGTGACACTTTTATCAGGTTGAAATTTTTTTTGTAAATTTCAAGTATTTAAAAATTTCGTCCTTTGGGAAGATGTGAAAATTTTTGCAATTAGGCCTATATCAAAAATAAAAATTTGTGAAAAGCATTTGATTGCTCTGTTGTTAGGTGAATGGATACAGTAAACGTTTCGAAACATAATTTTGAAAAATTTATTAATGAAATTTAGTATACTATACTCGGCGTAGTGACATTAATCGATCGAAACGAAAAGGGTGTATGTGAGATGCCAAGAATTAAAGGCGACGTTGAGAGTTGACACATGAATCATAGTATCATAATTTCGAAAAAAAAATTATTTATAACAAAAGTAGTATAAAAACGTTTTAAGAATATAAAAAATAGCTGAAAGATATCAGATCTACGTATACAGGTCGCCTTCCATTTCTTTCATCTGACGTAGACCCTTCCTGGGCAAGCAGATCATATCTACTATTCGCTGCTCGGATTATCATATTGATAAGAATCTGGAATAAATGAAACGTTGTATTATGAACAACTGTTTCGTAATTTATAGATTTTATATTTTCTGAAACAAAATATTTCTTTCTTTTATCGTTTTTCGACGGTCATTCTTATACCAAATTTAGGACGAAGAATGACGTCAGCTGACTCGAAAATCTTATCTCTGTGATCCAAAGATTTCACTCGAAAATGTCGGATAACATTTGATAAAACTGTCTTCATCTCTCTCATCGCAAATCTTTGTCCTGAAGAAAGATGAATACGTCAGAAACACAGTAAGGCCTTTGTCTCGTGACACAATTACTCACCTATGCAATTGCGTGGGCCGGCAGAAAACGGCACAAAGGCAAAGGGATGACGTTTATCGCAGTTTTCTGGTAGAAATCGATCCGGATTGAACACTTCGGGATTTTCGAAAACCGTTGGATTATGATGAATCCCATAAATGTTTATTACAAGGGATGATTTTGCCGGGAAGATATAATCACCTGAAAGGAAATTCAATTGTTTTCAATGAAATTTATGCTGTCGCTATGAAATGTATTTACTCTCAAAATGCGATACATACCTACTTTCATATCGGAAGGATTCTTTCTGATTATGACGGGAATCGGAGGATAGATCCTAATTGACTCCTGAAATTATTCCGATATTTCAAAATAGTTGTCGAGTATTTGATAACTTAATTAACTTTTGTATTTTCAAACAGAATTAACAAAATATAAAAAAAAGTTGATGCTATTATATGTTTTCTGTTAAGATACGAAAAGTTTGTATTAATATAAAAAAAAAGGAAAAATGTGAAATATATGTCATACTCATATAGGTATATGAGATACACATTCACAATAGTAATATTTGCTTGCTTTTTGTTTCAGTTCTGTGAACAGAAATAAATTATTGAGGGCTAAAGAGATAACCTTAAAACATTGTAACTTCCATTTTTTAGAGCTAGTTTTGTTAGTACTGTTTATGTATAAAAATAAGTAAAAGTATCCTAAGTGTACTAAACGTGATGAAAGCGAAAACAATATTATATATACTACATATGAGTACTACTAAGCTGAGGGGGTAGTGTTGCCACCAGGTCGGTTTTTAAATTCATGGTCCGGATTAATTATTAATTTGTCCGGTTTCCGTAGAAATTGTGAAATTATGATGAAACAAAATAAATTTATAAAAATATTTGCGAGTATTTTATTTTAACGGTAAAGACTTTAACTTCACACTCTCATCTTATCTCTACGCTAAGAGTGACAGAAAATGTACTTTTAAAATTCTAACTTGCAAACATCTCTGGCAAATATTAGGTTTGTTCCAACACAACTGGTTTAAAACTCACAAGCGCATTGTTCAGTTCTTCTAGTTTTCAATTTCTATATTTATATTTTGTAACTTAATATTATTAATGTTGGTATGTAATATTTTTGCAATTAATATCGACATAGGACTGTTATTAATTATTTTTGAATATGCCATATGTGATTATTGTGTTACTTTAATAATATATTATGTACATGTTTACCTTCTAATAAAAAAATATTTATTTTCTACTCACAATAAAAAAAATCGAAGTTTTTTTATTTATACTTACAACTTTTAAAATTAAAATTAAAATAACCGGACTTTTAAAATTAGGATGTTAATCACAATTTTAAAAGTCCGGGTCAGCAATTTTGGAAAGGTGGCAACACTGTGAGGGGTGAAGTCACTTGACAGCTTCCCCTATCTACAAGTAGGAGTTGTTTATACTTAAAAGTCAGAATTTCTTAGTTGCTATTCTTTACATAAAAAAAAAGTCTAATGACAAAAACTTTAAAATTTTTCAATATATGGAACTGATGATTGTCTTATACTTTTGGCCGGAGCGTTAACAACAAGACGACAACTTTATGATGAGATTTTATTCTACTGTACAAAACTACATTCGAACCTGAAGGTCAGTCCTGCGCTAAAAATGGTTTTGTATTTATTACTGTTCAAATCTACGTCTGAAGTGTTCTTAAAATATTAATAATTTTCTATTTCAAGTATTTTTTTTAAATTTCAGTTTTGCAAATTAGTAATAACATTTATTATTAAACAGAAATTTTAACCTTGATATTTAAAATTCGAAATTCCACATTACAAATTCTATTTTTGAAAAATTTCAAGTATTTAACATAATTTTTTCTATTATTTAAATAATCCACAGTAGATTTTATATGATTTACAAAACAAACTAAAAAAAATTAAATGCAACGATAGAAAACGTTCGCAAAACTTTACAGCTCTATATGAAGTGTCGAGTGAAATTAGATTAAATTATCAGATATATTCGACGCAATTAGAGTTAGAGCTTGAGTTGGATCATTTTTGCGTCTTTAAGGAACGATAGAATTGTTTACGTATGCACATGTACTCTCTCGGGCTTCATTTAGTCTTGAAAAGGGGTGAAGTGCATGTGGACAATCTACGAGTATATGTGCATTCATAAACAATTCTATTACCCCCTTAAAAACGCAAAAATGAATCAAACCAATGGCCAACTCTAGTTGTGTCGACTATAATACAAAGCCAACTCCTGGTATTTAGTAAGGATGCACCGATAAACAAAATGGCCGAATAACCGGTAATTACCGATTAATCGGTCACGCATCATCGGCCGATTAGTGCTAATAATAATTATTTTTATAACAATTTATTATAAAAATAATTTTAAATATGAAGCTATTTTTTTCTTTTTCAGATTCATGTATTAAATTAAAATGATAAATTATTATTTTGAAAAACTTTTAAATTTTAATTAATAGCCAATTCCAAACCCCCCATGGCTTCCGGTATTGCCTGGAAATTTTTTAGGAAAGATAAAAACGAGAAGTCTTCCAAGTTCAATTTGTGTCAGACTTCTATATCGAGAGGTGGAAAAAATGCTAAAACTTTTTTTACCACCAAAAACACGATAAATCAGCTCAACAAATGTCATCATAAAAACTTTTTAAAATAAACTTAATAGAGAAAAGAGAAAGTTCCGAAACGAAAGAAGTTGGATGTTCGTCAGTAACAACTCATATCCAATGACAAACTACATGAACTCAATTAATAGAGAAGAAAAAATTGTTGGATATAAATGATCAACGATCCAAAGAAGTTCATTATTTTATTGGATAAATTATAAGTGTAGATATACAGCCATAACCTGTTGTGTCCGATTTAGGATTTCAAAGATTAGACTACTAAAAACACTGGTTCTTAATTAAAATATTTCCAGCACAAAATATTTTTCTGAAAATATATTTCAAAAAGTTCAGTAAAAAATTCAATGATGCAAAATATATTTTTTTACCGCTGATATTTGGACAGCAACTACAAATAATTTTCCTTTTTTAACTGTAACAGCCCCTCTGGTTGAAGGATGATTTTCAGCAAGAAAGAGATGTTTTGCGAATTGTTCTCTTTGAAGGTTCCACACAGCTACACGAGTCAGTGAAAAGATAAACATTGTTCTTAAATAGTATACGTTGACAAAAGTCATAAGATATTTTTAGTACTGAGAGATTCTGGAGCAAATATGGAAGATGGAATCAGGAATCGCAACTTAAAGGCATTACATGCTTTACACATACACTGCAGCTGACACTAAACGAATGGAAATTTTCTCAACAAGATGTGAAAACTATAATCATAGTTAATAAAAATATTTTCACACATTTTAATCATTCTGCTGTAGCTGTAAGCAAATTGGAAGATTTGCGAGACAAGTTAGGTTTGCAGAAACACAAATTAATTCAAGATGTTCCTACTCGCGGGATTTCTACATACTACATGTTGCAAAGAAACTTGGAACAGCGAAAAGCCCTTGTCACATATGCTATAGACAATAAAATTCCTACGTTGAAAAAATTGTTATATTTTTAAAACCTTTCGAAGAATGGAAGCCAGCAACCGAGAAACCACTTCATCTTCAATAATTCACACAATAAAGACTCTGAAATTATTCTTATTATCAAAAGCAAAGAACAATCGTTCCTTTAATAGCATTAATACTTCAATAGAAGACTAGAAAATTCAATAAAAAAATATTTTCAGCATATATAGAAAACAAGTCTTTACTAGGGATTGTAAATTTACCGACTTTTTCATTTACCGGTAATTCGGTAAATGAAAATTAAAATACCGGTTTACCGGTAAATTACCGGTAAATTTTTTTCTTGAAAAATAAAATTAAGGTGATAAAAAATATAAGTCATTTCACATTTTTATTTCAAAGATATCAAATATAAAAAATATAAAAATTAAAGTGTTATTCTAAACAAACTATAATAATAAATATAGAAATAAACAGAAATAAAATAATACAGAAAAATAAAAATACAACAGAAATAATATATAGTACCTAATACCATTTTATTGATTACCATTTTTTAAAATTAACTTCTCAAGAAACTTAAATTATTTATAGTCTTATCTCCTAATTTTGATCTAATTTTTGTACAAAATAATCCAGATCTCGAGAATACCCTTTCTGATTCAACACTTGTTGGACGAATGGTCATTAAATTAAAATTAATCAAAAACTATCTCACATAAAATTAATAATGAGGTATATTGTTGCTTACACTTACTTGTTTTTTTTTTTTTTTTAATTTTCAATGTCCCTTTAGCCCTACAATATTTTCTGCATAGAAATTTCTAGTATGGATTTTTCATTTACCGAATTACCGGTAAATTTCAAAAATTTACCGGTAAGTTTATTGAATTTTTTTTGTCAATTTATCGGTTCACTGGTAAATCGGTAAACCGGTGTACAATCCCTAGTCTTTACGCTTGTCATCTTTATTAGATCCAAGATTCAAAATAAAATTTAAAAAAAAAAAAAAAAGATATGGTAGAGGAAATAGAAGATGGACAATTGATAGCTTAGATGATGTTGATAATTCGAAATCTCAAAAAGAATTAAATCCTGAAGCTTCTATTTATGGAGATGATCAAGATGGAGGATAATCTCTACGTTTTTCTAATTTATTGATAAATTAGCTTTTGGTAAACGAAAGAATGAATAAGAGCATGTTTTTAAATAACAAATAAAAAGTAAAACGTATTAAAATTTAAGTAAATTTCGCTTTGTTTATTACGAAGAATTAAACTAATATTTTTATGATTATTTAAATTAAGTTTTAAACGTTTCGAAATTTAATATTCATAATATATTATTTTACTAAATATGTATCGGATGGTAAAGATGAAATAGAGACATTTCGATTTTTTCTTCAACAACCGTATTGACAATATACAGTTCAAAGGCAATACACCAATTTCGGGCCTTTGATAAAAAAGAGAAAAAAGAAAACACAAAAATAGTTATTCTAAGCCAACCGGATTAAAAGCTTGCAGCAAAGATAGCGAGATAAATTGTTATTGATAGTAATTATTGTCTAATAGATTAAATTGTCATCTTTTTTGAGTCAATTATCAATATGTATTTTAAATGTCTAAATTTCATGTTTTACCCTACGAGGCGTTTAAAAGTAAATTGTTACCTTGACAACACATTCTAAATACTTCATTCTTTTAAGTTCATCGGACGTAATAGATTTATTCATGTCTTCACCAAAAATTTCCTCCAGCTCCTGGTACAGTTTCTCTTGTATATCGGGATGCAATCCGAGTAGATAAAGGGTCCAACTAATTCCCATAGCAGTTGTGTCGTGTCCCTAAAAATAAAATAACAATTTTTATACAACGTGAATCTTTTATTTCTAAGTTTGCGAATGAAACTCATTTTACTTCGATCATGAAAGTGTCGACTTCTTCTCTGATATCCTCTTCGTTGAGACTTCCATCCGTTAAATGATGATAAAGTAGTAAATCTAAAAATGCTCTCTTCTTCTTCACCCCCATAACTTTCTTCTCTTCTTGAAAGTAGTCGATTGTTTGCATGTCTTTCAGTTCTTCGATCAGTTTCTGTTTCTTTTCTCTAATTACCTGAATTATTTCCATTTTTAATTACGTTAATGGTTTAAAAATAAAATCAAATAAACTTGCCTTTCTGTCAAATTCGTGAACGGTTTGAATGTCTTTGTGAAATTTTATTCCTAATGGGCTCAAGTTGAAAATGGGACCGAACCAATACCAAGGCTTTGCGACCCATTGAATAATTGCGGATGTTATACTGAATTAAAAAATACCATGTGGTATATTACAAATGTTTCAAGTAACTGAAATATTTTTCATACTTTTAAAAATGCTTTAAAATTTTAAGCTATTAAACAAAATTGTCTTTCTTTTAAACTTCGTAAAATAGTTTTGTCATTAGATTAATCATATTTAAAATATGAGATAAAGAAATTATTTTAAAAGTTGAATTTAGTTTTGTTACTCATTGTTATAGTTTTCAATTGTAAATCTGTATTTTATAATAATATACCCTGAATTCCATTCTAAATACTGTATTGGTAAAAAAATTTTTGAAATCGGATAAGTAGTTTCGGAGATTACCTGCTGCATATAAACTTACATACATACTTACAAACATTACCTCTTTATAATATTAGTATAGATTCAGCAAGGATTGCATTATATCAGTAAATGGAAACTGATTTCTTTCTCAGATCCACAGGACAAATAATGCATCTGTGTTCCGTGCGAAAAATTTTAATAGCAGGAAACTATGAGTGATTTGCAGTAGAATTCTATCCATGCTATAAAATGTTTTACAGTCGATTAAAATTACAACGTCGTTTATTATCTTTGATCCATTGTCACCTATTGCAATTATGACTACTCGTAATAAAAAGCTCATAATATCGTACAATAATCGATAGAGATAAAGAAAAACCCAAATAATGATTACATGGGAATTAAAAAGTAGCTAAAAATCCTTACAGTTATTCAGAGAAGAAGTTATAAATAGATTTAAATGGAAGGGTTCTATTGAGATTTGTCTTTAACCGTTTTTTTTTAATAACTTACTCATTAATGGCAATGACATAATCAGTACCAGATCTGTCTTGAGTGTTAATTTGAACTCCCATTGCTGAATCTGTAAATAATAATAATATATTTATAGAATAACATATTGAATCACTACACCTTTCTTGGTACGGTTGCTTTAATAGTAAGAAATTTCGAACATAATATGAAGCCAACTTGAAAAGTACTGAGCATAAACAAAGCCCTCAAACAAACTGGGAACATTTTTTTCTTTTGATGATTATGAAGACGATAACACATTCCAATGGATTAAAGTGTCAGCCTACCGCTCCGAGGTTTCGCAATAGCATTCGGACTAGCAATCAGAACTTTTCATCTGCTTATGTTCAGAATATGTCGGCTCTTTGCCTCATTATTCTGCATCCTGCTATTGTCTGGATGACTCCACGCCGTGTATGATTAAAACAGGTTGTCTTATTCACAAAATGAAGAAGAAAACCAAAAATCCCGAAATGAAAATAATTATAAATTTACAATAACATTTCCAAATTGTCGTAATAAAGAGACAAGTTAAAAAAAAAAACACGCTCCCAACTGTTCGTTTATTTTTGAGAATATTTCCGAACCGTTTTTTTTATATTCNATTTTGAAAAACTTTTAAATTTTAATTAATAGCCAATTCCAAACCCCCCATGGCTTCCAGTATTGCCTGGAAATTTTTTAGGAAAGATAAAAACGAGAAGTCTTCCAAGTTCAATTTGTGTCAGACTTCTATATCGAGAGGTGGAAAAAATGCTAAAACTTTTTTTACCACCAAAAACACGATAAATCAGCTCAACAAATGTCATCATAAAAACTTTTTAAAATAAACTTAATAGAGAAAAGAGAAAGTTCCGAAACGAAAGAAGTTGGATGTTCGTCAGTAACAACTCATATCCAATGACAAACTACATGAACTCAATTAATAGAGAAGAAAAAATTGTTGGATATAAATGATCAACGATCCAAAGAAGTTCATTATTTTATTGGATAAATTATAAGTGTAGATATACAGCCATAACCTGTTGTGTCCGATTTAGGATTTCAAAGATTAGACTACTAAAAACACTGGTTCTTAATTAAAATATTTCCAGCACAAAATATTTTTCTGAAAATATATTTCAAAAAGTTCAGTAAAAAATTCAATGATGCAAAATATATTTTTTTACCGCTGATATTTGGACAGCAACTACAAATAATTTTCCTTTTTTAACTGTAACAGCCCCTCTGGTTGAAGGATGATTTTCAGCAAGAAAGAGATGTTTTGCGAATTGTTCTCTTTGAAGGTTCCACACAGCTACATGAGTCAGTGAACAGATAAACATTGTTCTTAAATAGTATACGTTGACAAAAGTCATAAGATATTTTTAGTACTGAGAGATTCTGGAGCAAATATGGAAGCTGGAATCAGGAATTGCAACTTAAAGGCATTACATGCTTTACACATACACTGCAGCTGACACTAAACGAATGGAAATTTTCTCAACAAGATGTGAAAACTATAATCATAGTTAATAAAAATATTTTCACACATTTTAATCATTCTGCTGTAGCTGTAAGCAAATTGGAAGATTTGCGAGACAAGTTAGGTTTGCAGAAACACAAATTAATTCAAGATGTTCCTACTCGCGGGATTTCTACATACTACATGTTGCAAAGAAACTTGGAACAGCGAAAAGCCCTTGTCACATATGCTATAGACAATAAAATTCCTACGTTGAAAAAATTGTTATATTTTTAAAACCTTTCGAAGAATGGAAGCCAGCAACCGAGAAACCACTTCATCTTCAATAATTCACACAATAAAGACTCTGAAATTATTCTTATTATCAAAAGCAAAGAACAATCGTTCCTTTAATAGCATTAATACTTCAATAGAAGACTAGAAAATTCAATAAAAAAATATTTTCAGCATATATAGAAAACAAGTCTTTACTAGGGATTGTAAATTTACCGACTTTTTCATTTACCGGTAATTCGGTAAATGAAAATTAAAATACCGGTTTACCGGTAAATTACCGGTAAATTTTTTTCTTGAAAAATAAAATTAAGGTGATAAAAAATATAAGTCATTATGATTTCCATTTCACATTTTTATTTCAAAGATATCAAATATAAAAAATATAAAAATTAAAGTGTTATTCTAAACAAACTATAATAATAAATATAGAAATAAACAGAAATAAAATAATACAGAAAAATAAAAATACAACAGAAATAATATATAGTACCTAATACCATTTTATTGATTACCATTTTTTAAAATTAACTTCTCAAGAAACTTAAATTATTTATAGTCTTATCTCCTAATTTTGATCTAATTTTTGTACAAAATAATCCAGATCTCGAGAATACCCTTTCTGATTCAACACTTGTTGGACGAATGGTCATTAAATTAAAATTAATCAAAAACTATCTCACATAAAATTAATAATGAGGTATATTGTTGCTTACACTTACTTGTTTTTTTTTTTTTTTTAATTTTCAATGTCCCTTTAGCCCTACAATATTTTCTGCATAGAAATTTCTAGTATGGATTTTTCATTTACCGAATTACCGGTAAATTTCAAAAATTTACCGGTAAGTTTATTGAATTTTTTTTGTCAATTTATCGGTTCACTGGTAAATCGGTAAACCGGTGTACAATCCCTAGTCTTTACGCTTGTCATCTTTATTAGATCCAAGATTCAAAATAAAATTTAAAAAAAAAAAAAAAAGATATGGTAGAGGAAATAGAAGATGGACAATTGATAGCTTAGATGATGTTGATAATTCGAAATCTCAAAAAGAATTAAATCCTGAAGCTTCTATTTATGGAGATGATCAAGATGGAGGATAATCTCTACGTTTTTCTAATTTATTGATAAATTAGCTTTTGGTAAACGAAAGAATGAATAAGAGCATGTTTTTAAATAACAAATAAAAAGTAAAACGTATTAAAATTTAAGTAAATTTCGCTTTGTTTATTACGAAGAATTAAACTAATATTTTTATGATTATTTAAATTAAGTTTTAAACGTTTCGAAATTTAATATTCATAATATATTATTTTACTAAATATGTATCGGATGGTAAAGATGAAATAGAGACATTTCGATTTTTTCTTCAACAACCGTATTGACAATATACAGTTCAAAGGCAATACACCAATTTCGGGCCTTTGATAAAAAAGAGAAAAAAGAAAACACAAAAATAGTTATTCTAAGCCAACCGGATTAAAAGCTTGCAGCAAAGATAGCGAGATAAATTGTTATTGATAGTAATTATTGTCTAATAGATTAAATTGTCATCTTTTTTGAGTCAATTATCAATATGTATTTTAAATGTCTAAATTTCATGTTTTACCCTACGAGGCGTTTAAAAGTAAATTGTTACCTTGACAACACATTCTAAATACTTCATTCTTTTAAGTTCATCGGACGTAATAGATTTATTCATGTCTTCACCAAAAATTTCCTCCAGCTCCTGGTACAGTTTCTCTTGTATATCGGGATGCAATCCGAGTAGATAAAGGGTCCAACTAATTCCCATAGCAGTTGTGTCGTGTCCCTAAAAATAAAATAACAATTTTTATACAATGTGAATCTTTTATTTCTAAGTTTGCGAATGAAACTCATTTTACTTCGATCATGAAAGTGTCGACTTCTTCTCTGATATCCTCTTCGTTGAGACTTCCATCCGTTAAATGATGATAAAGTAGTAAATCTAAAAATGCTCTCTTCTTCTTCACCCCCATAACTTTCTTCTCTTCTTGAAAGTAGTCGATTGTTTGCATGTCTTTCAGTTCTTCGATCAGTTTCTGTTTCTTTTCTCTAATTACCTGAATTATTTCCATTTTTAATTACTTTAATGGTTTAAAAATAAAATCAAATAAACTTGCCTTTCTGTCAAATTCGTGAACGGTTTGAATGTCTTTGTGAAATTTTATTCCTAATGGGCTCAAGTTGAAAATGGGACCGAACCAATACCAAGGCTTTGCGACCCATTGAATAATTGCGGATGTTATACTGAATTAAAAAATACCATGTGGTATATTACAAATGTTCCAAGTAACTGAAATATTTTTCATACTTTTAAAAATGCTTTAAAATTTTAAGCTATTAAACAAAACTGTCTTTCTTTTAAACTTCGTAAAATAGTTTTGTCATTAGATTAATCATATTTAAAATATGAGATAAAGAAATTATTTTAAAAGTTGAATTTAGTTTTGTTACTCATTGTTATAGTTTTCAATTATAAATCTGTATTTTATAATAATATACCCTGAATTCCATTCTAAATACTGTATTGGTAAAAAAATTTTTGAAATCGGATAAGTAGTTTCGGAGATTACCTGCTGTATATAAACTTACATAATACTTACAAACATTACCTCTTTATAATATTAGTATAGATTCAGCAAGGATTGCATTATATCGGTAAATGGAAACTGATTTCTTTCTCAGATCCACAGGACAAATAATGCATCTGTGTTCCGTGCGAAAAATTTTAATAGCAGGAAACTATGAGTGATTTGCAGTAGAATTCTATCCATGCTATAAAATGTTTTACAGTCAGTTAAAATTACAACGTCGTTTATTATCTTTGATCCATTGTCACCTATTGCAATTATGACTACTCGTAATAAAAAGCTCATAATATCGTACAATAATCGATAGAGATAAAGAAAAACCCAAATAATGATTACATGGGAATTAAAAAGTAGCTAAAAATCCTTACAGTTATTCAGAGAAGAAGTTATAAATAGATTTAAATGGAAGGGTTCTATTGAGATTTGTCTTTAACCGTTTTTTTTTAATAACTTACTCATTAATGGCAATGACATAATCAGTACCAGATCTGTCTTGAGTGTTAATTTGAACTCCCATTGCTGAATCTGTAAATAATAATAATATATTTATAGAATAACATATTGAATCACTACACCTTTCTTGGTACGGTTGCTTTAATAGTAAGAAATTTCGAACATAATATGAAGCCAACTTGAAAAGTACTGAGCATAAACAAAGCCCTCAAACAAACTGGGAACATTTTTTTCTTTTGATGATTATGAAGACGATAACACATTCCAATGGATTAAAGTGTCAGCCTACCGCTCCGAGGTTTCGCAATAGCATTCGGACTAGCAATCAGAACTTTTCATCTGCTTATGTTCAGAATATGTCGGCTCTTTGCCTCATTATTCTGCATCCTGCTATTGTCTGGATGACTCCACGCCGTGTATGATTAAAACAGGTTGTCTTATTCACAAAATGAAGAAGAAAACCAAAAATCCCGAAATGAAAATAATTATAAATTTACAATAACATTTCCAAATTGTCGTAATAAAGAGACAAGTTAAAAAAAAAAACACGCTCCCAACTGTTCGTTTATTTTTGAGAATATTTCCGAACCGTTTTTTTTTTATTCAAACATTTTTAAAAAATAACTGAAATACCAAACAGTTGGCAACTTTTCCCGCATGCAAAGATTGGTTAATGGACCGTTACCTCCAATAATATCCAAAGTGCACAGGCTAATGAGCTCGTCCATAAGAAATTCTTCATTTTCCTTTTTGTTCTTCAACTTTTCAATTAAAATGGTTGAGTAATCGTTGAAAATCTCTTGAAAGTCTTCGAGAATTCGAAAGTGAAATGCTGGAGTTAATAATTTTCTACGATGTCTCCACTTATCATTCGAACTGTTGCCGTTGTAAACAAATAATCAGTACTTTTATTCAACTGAAATATTCAATTACCGTTTACCTTGTTAGAAGACCTGTTCCTAGCCATGGATGAAGAATATTATAAATCCAATCTTTGTTGATCACGGTGTGACTCTTCAGTACTTCCTTTATAAAATAATAAATTGTTAAGGTTACAAAACACTGAAACAATATGTGAAAAAGCAAATATACCTCAGCCACTTCGGGGTGAGATAATAAAATATAATTAGAGCCACCCCACGATAATTTCAATACTTTCTCTTCTGAGAATGCCATACGTACACTACTCAATATTTGAATAATAACTAGAAAAGATATTTAATAAATATACTTTTACTCATCGTTATTCGAAAAGAAATTCGTAAATAATAAACTTTATATCGTAGGATATAATTTAATACTTTGAAATTATACTTACACGTGCCACAAAGTTTACGATAATCTTGCGCTTTTACTGGACAGAAAATCAGATTCCAAAGCATGGGCCAACTGGGGAATTTCGGTATTTCATTTCTGGATTTGTTTTTAATGTTTTTGTTCCATATGTAGAGACCTGAAAGAAATATTGCAAATCGTTTAGCTAATTTACATTCATAGACACTTTCTATTATGAATACGACCATTTTCACCGGCTTATATTTTTGATGGAAAATTCGCTTTAATTTAACAAATTCATGTACTGTACTTCGGTTGATACTAGAGGTCAAAATAGAAGGAAGAAGCAGGGAAATATCGTTGAAAAAAATATAAAATCATAGGCTGGTATTACCACGGAAGAGTTGATAAGAACAGTTAGGAAGAGAAAATCGTTTGTCGACGTGATCGCTGTATGCCAAATGGAAACAGCACTACAGGAGAAAGTTATTTTATGTCCTTTAATTATTTCTCTGAAATTAATGTAGATTTATATAAAAAGTAGCTACTGTTATTATTCATAATGTACAGTACATACATAATATGATATTCAAATTTTACTATAGATAATCGTCATTTTCGTTTTGCATTTTGTCCCCCAAATTTTTTTTTAATTAAAAGATCTGTCTAAAGTTCCTAACGGAAATTATACAAGTCTGAAAGAACAAAATTATATGAGATGTTTTATATTCTTAAATCTTTAATTGTTATCAATGAATATGCTGCCACGCTTCAATTACCTGGTGTCTTCTGGAAGTTGAATAAATCGCTATATTAGAAAAAATATGAATCGTTATATTAAACTGTTCATGAAAGTGCAACGGAAAATTAATGGACTTTTATGACGCCGTCGTAAAATTCGTGAGAAAGAAAGAAAGCGTAGAAAGCTGAACATATTAACGAAATTCTTCTCGAAAGTTTCATCTATCACCCTTCTCAAACATCTTACCCAGACTCTCTGCAATTCCTGATAACTTTATTAAGAACTACGATAAGTGAACAGATGGTTTAAGAATTCAATGACTATAGTATTGATTTAATGGCCTTATTTAAAGGTTCATACCTTTAAATAAGGCCATAAATTTAAAGGTTCATACCTTTAAATTCAGTTTTTTCGTTTACAAAATTTAATTTTTCGTTTTGTCTGACTGTTGTATTCTTATGTTCTTCAGAAGATGCAAATAAAAGCAAAGTAATCTTGTTGGAGTTTCTTTGAACGAATGTTGATTATACTCACGGGACACCGTGATTTTTGTACAGTAAAACTTGTTAACGTTACCAGTGTAGAGATCAGCTTAAGGTGGTCATCTTGCACAGGTGGTAACCCTTAAGTAGATTTCATTGTATATCCGAATATAACTCATTTATATTATACATTTATTCCCTCTTAAATGAATTTACAAAATTTATAAAAATATGTTATTTCTATATATTTTTATTCAAATACCAGAATAAAATTTAAAATGATAAAAATTAAGAAATTATTGTAACTATAAATAATATTTTAACTTACTAGAAACTTGGCAACTGAGCGAAAACGATTTATCAAAATCGGGTGTAATTGTTTGTAAAAATGATGTTTTTAATGTACATTACATGTTAAAAACACATTTGTTAATGTCGCAGTGTATAGACTTATTAGTCTTTAAAAAAATAATTGTTCACGTATGTACAGTACAACCATACATTACCAATATTCTTACAGCAGACATACGCATTTCAATAAGTTTGAAATACAACTTCGTATGGCAAACGGTCAAAAAATGATCTCCCAAGATGTTTACACTTTTGGACTCAAAACACCTTAAAAAGTCGAAAAATACGAAAAATTTCAGGGAAAAGTTTTTCTGTATGTATGGATGTAAGTACGTTTGTGTATGTGTAAGAGTACGATTTTGTTCACCCTCAATGAATCGTTTGTGCTTTTTGTCGAAAATTTCTAAAATTTGGCAGGAACGTTTGTTTGTTAGGTGGATTGATGCTATTAAATTTTGGTGATTAAAGGTCGAGGGATGGAAAGATAGTGGGGGTCGTATGTATCTCCAGAAGTATTCAGACTTAATGACAATTTTATTCGTTATTAGCATTTACAAAATTTTTTTTATAAAACCCATCCCTACCCTCAAAATTAAGCGTTTTGCCATTTTATAATAGTTAGAAATTAAAAACATTTTAAATTAAACATTATACCACATGGCGCCACGAAATTTTGCCGGCAAAGTTAATCAACTCGTTACTGAATATTACTCCGGATTTGTGTCAATTCCATTTGGATGCTTCTTTTTTGCTTCTTCGACGTTAAAACAAACAAACGCATTAAAGAGTTAAAATCATTTTCACATCCTCGAATACTTCAAATCGGTTTTCAAATTCAAGTAATAATTCTTGGATATTTGTAAAATATTTTCTGAAAACACAACAATAATATTATTCTTTTAATTTTTGCAAATAGAAGATTTAAGCAAATCCCAAATTTTTAATTGTTTCCTCTAAATTCCAATATTTAATTAATGTAAGTTTAATACCTTGTGTGGCTAGTAAGATTTCTATCTGGAAGTGTCAATTATACATTCCGTATCAGAATTTACAGGCAAGTTTTGATTTAAAGCAGAATTTGGCACCATTTCACATTATTTCTTTGTTCGAAACAAATAAAACGATAGATAAAATTTATATGTATGCCTATATAAAAAACAAGATAAATGTTTATAAATAATCCAACAACAATGAGTTTTATTCTTAAAATTCAAAAGCTAGTAATGCTTTGAAAATAATTATAAAAGCAGTAACTAGGATGCAATTTCAAAAAATTTTAAGCCTATAAATTCCAACAGTCGTCCGTGTGCCTGACTACCTTTCCTTATTCCTAAGAAAGGAACCAGGTACGTAAATGTGAAAACAGAGTTCTAAAGGCAAACGGAAGTGAGCCCCGACTAACAATTCACGAACTTCCGTATCAGAACAAAAGCCACGTTATTTCAATTCAAATTGTTTTCTTGAAGTCACTGATAACTAGCACGACTCCTTTGCTAATAGGAAAAGTATAATGTACGGGGACAAGATACTATTAATTCGAGATAGAGAATGTATATTTTAAATATATTAAAAATATGTTTAAAACTTGCAGCCCGGCATTATGACATCGTCACAACAGAATAATTATTTTATAATAATTAATACCCACATGTTTATCTATAACTATAATACATAAAGTCCATGAATATTTAAAAACTGATTCAAAAATAGTTACATGAAATTTAAAAGAAAGAAAAGTTATACAATGTTCCTCGAATTTTAAATGACCTGAATATTGATATACAGTACGGGATTCTATTCCTTTAGCCTTGTAAATTTTGTTTTTCATGTTTTAATATTACCGATTATTACATAAAAAACCTATGAAGATGTAGTTAATCGAACTGTCACGAAATCACTTCTCTTGCTGATAATTGAATATATTTTAAAAAATAAAATGCTTTCAAGCATTTACTTATTTCCAAATACGGAGGAAGTCTTTTGATAGATTATCGAAGACGAATGTTTTTTTTTCTGTTGTTTCGTTGTGTTTTTTAATTCATTTACTAATGAATATATCACTAGAAGAGAAATTAAAAGTAAACTTAAACGATTTTAAGTGAGATCGACAGAAACATGGTTAATACTCTTCTTGCTCTGAAGTTTTCGTATATATATACTGAAACTTCAGAGCATATTTTTTTAATAATTGAAGCGAATTTATATTAAATATATTTCTAAAGTATTATTCTCTTTGTTTTCTTCTGATTACAACGATCTGTTACTGGCTGTTTTGTATAAGTTTCACTCGTGTTTTAATACAAAATTTTTAAAATATTTCGATTTTTCTGACGTATTGATTTTATCTGAAAATGAGGAAATTAGGCTGTAATTGCACGAGAACCATACAAAGACAATACCCTTAATCATAATAATTATTAACAATTAACTTTAAAAAAAAAACATAACGCTCAAGGTAGTTTCGCCTTTTCAGACTTATGTAATTATTGTTAAAAACTTTTTTAGTTTAATTTTTTTATTTCTATCGCAAAAATATAAAACAATAGTCGCAATTATGTAATTAAAATTTAATACAGTCGACCTCCCTATAACATGGTATATACGTTCCGTTTTTTATGAAATTCATGTTTTAGGAGACCTTGCCAATCACAGCCCGACAAGTGTGAAGTTTACGGACTGCGGCTGTTTGAAAGGTTTTCTTCCATAAAATGAATCGATTCCTAGGCTAATTCGACTCAACATTTCCAAAATACGTATATTTTTTTGGGAATAATCCGTATAAACTATGCTATAAACAAAAAATTGTAGGATTACTTACCGAGTGTGCACCGTTCGACATCGCCATTGCTTAAGCTTGTTTNTCACAGACACGTTCAAACATTTCATCCCTTAAAATAGTTGTAAAACGAGCTGATAATTGTGTTCCACTTGCAGTTTTTTTCTTCCACTTATGGAGAAAATGAACTGAATTGAGTATGTTTTGTGTGACGAAGGTAAGCAGCGGTAAGGTATAATTTTATTTTTAAATTGGTTACTTATTTTTAATTTTGAAAACTTTTTTACGGATAAATGAAAAAATTAAGTTAAAATAAAAATATTTGTTATTAACCGAAAATTTGTTCTAACGGGTGGTGATTATTCGGTCGAGTAACGAGTTCCGTTATATTTTATTTACGCGATTTTGATATAAGCGGTACACATCGAGAAATTTATTAATCGCATTAATGAAGGGATACCTATAGTATGCGTAGGTAACCTGTATATAGCGGAAACCTGTCTACTATGGAAGAGTTATTCGGTCCCTCGGGGTTCCGTTATAGACAGGTTTGACTGAATAACAGAGGGAAAGTGTGGCCATCGGTCAAAAAATGACTCCCAACATTTTAACATTTTTGGACTCGAGACTTTTAAACGTCCAATAATGCAAAAACTTCAGAGAATTTTTCTGTATGTATGGATGTTAGTGTGTGCGTGTGTGGCACGATTTTGTTCACCTTTTTGGAAGATAATAACTACTGTGCTTATGTGGAAAATTTTGTCAAATTAGAAATGAAAGTTTGTTTATTAGGGAGATTAATGCTCTTAAATTTTGGTGGTTAAAAGTCGAGAAAATGATGAGATAATGGGGTCATGTGAATCTCCAGCAGGATTCAGACTTAATGACTATTTTACTTATTATTAGCATTTCCAATTTTTTAGAAAACCCATCCCTACCACAAAAAATTAATTTTTTTTTGCCATTTTGTAATAATTAAAAATATAAGTTTTTAATAATAAAATATCACAGCAGATAAAACCACACACTCAGTTTCAAATGTTACTGGGAAAGTTAATCAACTCGTTGATGATGGCTTTTTTAAATATAAAACAATAGTCGCAATTATGTAATTAAAATTTAATATCACATAATATGTAAATTAGTTTTTTATATAAATCTACACTTATTTGAAAAACATCATTAAAGATCAAATGCATTTAAGCCTAATATATATTTCTGCAGAACGAGAAAACATTACGAAAATCGAATTACAATTATTTAAAAAGGTTACTAAGGTATAAATGTTTGACATTTGTGACATATGTATTTTACTGTAGAGAAGTAAAGACCCAGATGATAATAAATTCGAAATCAAAGACAAACGGCAAAAACGGAAACCAAAACAGTAATCACTACAACCGAATAAACCGATAAACCTATACAGATAAACCGAAAACACGACAGTAAAACGAGCATGAATTAATAAACGATCAAACAACTTTTAAACATTGACTTACCTCCAGATACACACGAATTGTCTCCATGTGTGATGGAAAAGGAATAATTTTCCGTTGCTTCCTTCTGGTTTTCCATTTTTTTTACAAGCGAATTTATCAATACAAGAATAATTACTAAACTTAAAAGAAGTCGACAGAAACAAGATTAACATTTTTCTTGCTCGGCAGATTGCAAGACAGCATGAAATAATTATTTATTCATGCACATACTAATCAGAGTCGAATGTTTTATACAAGTGTATAGTCTCAATCCCGCCAACTGCATATGCCGCCGTTATTTGTTCATTTATTTATTTTCAAAATCAATAACGAAACTTTTTGCACGGTAGATTTCATATCCCAGATTAACAGTAAAACCCCAATTTAGACATATAAAGTACAGCGAATAAAGTACAAGAGAACAAAATACAAGTAAATAATATAAAAAATAATAAAATAAAATTAAGAATTGTAGAATTTTCGCTTACAGGCGTTTTATTGTTTTGGCTTTGTTGTATACTGTCAAACCTGTCTATAACGGAACCTGTAAATATCGAAAACCCAGTCATTAACGGAAAATTTCTTTGGTCCCTTGAATTTTTTTGCAAAAATTAATGTAAATTAACCAGCATAAGCGCAACCTGTTTAACGCGGAAACGGAAAGGAAAATTGGAACATATAACGGAAAAATCGGTATTTTTATCCGATTTAACACAAATTTAAGAAGAAATTTGCAAACTTAGCATGTAAACATCATAAAAAAGTAAAAAAATACACGTACGCAATACAGAATAGCAAAATACGACTACTATATTACAGTAATTTCATTGAGATTTAAACAGAAAGTTTTTGCTTATTATTATTAACAGGTGTTTTTACTTAACATAAATATGTGATGTAAATACAAGTTGTGAAATTTAATATATTATTCCCAATGTGAAATTGTATTCTTTGTTTTGAAGCTTATTTTAAACGTGACAAATCGCTTGAATAAAATGTCTGCACATAAAATGCACATCGGGTATATTAATATAATGTATGCTTTTTAGTTTCGTAAAGTTTATCACGCTACACAAACAGTAAAAATTACTCGTACTGTGTATGGGGAAGGTGCTATTAAACTCGAATGTGTCAAATGTAGTTTTGAAAACTTCGTTTCGTTCGGGAAATTTTGAGCTAAAAGATATAAAAAGTACGGGCTCCAAAAGCTGTCGAGGAGAAATCGTGGGAAGAAATTATTAAGGATTTACAAATAACAACTCGTAGACTTGAAACAAATTTTAGTGTCACAGACACGTTCAAACATTTCATCCCTTAAAATAGTTGTAAAACGAGCTGATAATTGTGTTCCACTTGCAGTTTTTTTCTTCCACTTATGGAGAAAATGAACTGAATTGAGTATGTTTTGTGTGACGAAGGTAAGCAGCGGTAAGGTATAATTTTATTTTTAAATTGGTTACTTATTTTTAATTTTGAAAACTTTTTTACGGATAAATGAAAAAATTAAGTTAAAATAAAAATATTTGTTATTAACCGAAAATTTGTTCTAACGGGTGGTGATTATTCGGTCGAGTAACGAGTTCCGTTATATTTTATTTACGCGATTTTGATATAAGCGGTACACATCGAGAAATTTATTAATCGCATTAATGAAGGGATACCTATAGTATGCGTAGGTAACCTGTATATAGCGGAAACCTGTCTACTATGGAAGAGTTATTCGGTCCCTCGGGGTTCCGTTATAGACAGGTTTGACTGAATAACAGAGGGAAAGTGTGGCCATCGGTCAAAAAATGACTCCCAACATTTTAACATTTTTGGACTCGAGACTTTTAAACGTCCAATAATGCAAAAACTTCAGAGAATTTTTCTGTATGTATGGATGTTAGTGTGTGCGTGTGTGGCACGATTTTGTTCACCTTTTTGGAAGATAACAACTACTGTGCTTATGTGGAAAATTTTGTCAAATTAGAAATGAAAGTTTGTTTATTAGGGAGATTAATGCTCTTAAATTTTGGTGGTTAAAAGTCGAGAAAATGATGAGATAATGGGGTCATGTGAATCTCCAGCAGGATTCAGACTTAATGACTATTTTACTTATTATTAGCATTTCCAATTTTTTAGAAAACCCATCCCTACCACAAAAAATTAATTTTTTTTGCCATTTTGTAATAATTAAAAATATAAGTTTTTAATAATAAAATATCACAGCAGATAAAACCACACACTCAGTTTCAAATGTTACTGGGAAAGTTAATCAACTCGTTGATGATGGCTTTTTTATATAGAATGAAGTAAAAAGTTAAACAATATCTATGAGTTGCTAACGAAAATTATATCAGCAAAAAAAAAAAAGAAAAAACAGAAGTATTATACTTTAGGAATTTTATATTCTTAATACTTCAACTGTTAACAATTATTATCCAGTCACTCTTTACTTAACGACAAACTTGTTTATCAACCGCTCGGACTTTCGACCTACTCTTCAACACGAAGAATTCCTTTTTTCAGTCTGAATCTGGGGAAACCCTTTGGTATTCGTTGTCTCGTTCTCGCAGTAGGTCTGTATTTACTGCACAAAGAGTTCGCAATCTCCGAGACATATTTCGTTTGTACATTTATACTTTATTGCGTACTCCATATTAGATGGCAAAAAGAAAGAGAATGACTTCACCTGGGAATCATAACAGCAATTGAAACTAGAAGAATAAGAGAAAGAATAGGAAAAGTACAAAAGAAATTTTCTCTAAAATAGTTAATAAGTAAGTCGAGGGAAACGAACTTGGTCTTTTACTGAATGCCTGTAACGATTTCTATCGTGTTGCTATTATTATCGCGCTAAAAACTTACCAATTTCCTCAATTCGAAATAAAATCAATACTTCACATAGAAACATTTAATATTTTATATATTATAAAATCTATAATCTTTATGAATAAACCAATAAGAATTCGTTTATTCCTAATAAAAGAAAGCTAATAATACTTCAAAAAATAATATTACAAAAATACTTTTTATTTAGTTATGTCTCATGTGTGTTGCAATCATTAAAAGAAAATTGTCGACTAAGCATTAGAAATTATAATTTTGAGCAGTGAAAGATTTTAGGTAGATTTGTTTACTTCGTTTTAATTTTGAATAAATTTTTCTTGGTTTGATATGTAACATAAGAAACTAATAAAAATTTAGTTATTCAAAGAGTTTTACTAAATCCTTTTTTGTTAGATTAATGATATTTTCAAACATTTACTTACCTCCACATGCAGACGATGAGGAATGAATTTTCTGTTGTTTTTTTCTGGATCTCCATTTCTTACGTAATGAATATATCACCAGAAGAAAAATAATAAGTGAACTTAAAAGAATTTGAAATAAATTCGACAGAAACATGATTAATATTCTTCTTGCTCTGCAGTTTATAATATGATACGTAATAATTCTCTATGTATATATATATATATAATTATAGACTCGGTAGAAAAAATCATGGTCGCCCTTTTGGTTGATTGTATGGCGACTTTTTACGTCAAAGATTGAAAGGTATAGATCACGTGTCACAAAAACTCTGATTGGCATTTTTCGATGCTTATTGTTTTACAGATATATATATATATATATATGTAAAAATGCCAATTAGAATCAGAGTTTTTGTGACACGTGATCTACACCTTTCAATCTTTGATGTAAAAAGTCGCCATACAATCAACCAAAAGTGCGACCATGATTTTTTCTACCGAGTCTATAATTTAACCTAGGATTTATACATCAGTAAACTATTTCTATAATTGTAATTCAATTTTCGCAATGCTTCCTCGTTCTGCAGAATTATATATTAAGCTTATGATGTTTTTCAAATAAGTGTAGATTTATATAAAAAAACTAATTTACATATTATGTAATACAGTCGACCCCCTATAACACGGGTTCCTATAGTTCGGATTCCTATATGACGGCGAAAAAATTGCAACGGTATCCGTACAAACATGGTAAAAAAAACTCCTATAATTCGGTAAAACGTCATTGGGCAGCCGAACTACTTTCCGCCGTCCAGCGCCACGCTACGGAGAGTTTAGGTGGGTAAATTGAGTTTACTATCGTCTGTACAGTATGTAAATTAGGTACCGTAAGTCTAATACAGCACTAATTTTATACATTTCTTCTGAAAGAAACATTTCTTATTCAACGGCCATAAAAATTATTTATATTAATGATGTCTCTTCAACGAAGTTTTCGCAGAAAAATAACTTATCAGAAATCGCGGCCGCCGTTTGGTGCGCTGCTCCGCGACGAAAACAAGCTTAAGCAATGGCGATGTCGAACGGTGCACACTCGGTAAGTAATCCTACAATTTTTTGTTTATAGCATAGTTTATACGGATTATTCCCAAAAAAATATACGTATTTTGGAAATGTTGAGTCGAATTAGCCTAGGAATCGATTCATTTTATGGAAGAAAACCTTTCAAACAGCCGCAGTCCGTAAACTTCACACTTGTCGGGCTGTGATTGGCAAGGTCTCCTAAAACATGAATTTCATAAAAAACGGAACGTATATACCATGTTATAGGGAGGTCGACTGTATTAAATTTTAATTACATAATTGCGACTATTGTTTTATATTTTTGCGATAGAAATAAAAAAATTAAACTAAAAAAGTTTTTAACAATAATTACATAAGTCTGAAAAGGCGAAACTACCTTGAGCGTTATGTTTTTTTTTTAAAGTTAATTGTTAATAATTATTATGATTAAGGGTATTGTCTTTGTATGGTTCTCATGCAATTGCAGTCTAATTTCCTCATTTTCAGATAAAATCAATACGTCAGAAAAATCGAAATATTTTAAAAATTTTGTATTAAAACACGAGTGAAACTTATACAAAACAGCCAGTAACAGATCGTTGTAATCAGAAGAAAACAAAGAGAATAATACTTTAGAAATATATTTAATATAAATTCGCTTCAATTATTAAAAAAATATGCTCTGAAGTTTCAGTATATATATACGAAAACTTCAGAGCAAGAAGAGTATTAACCATGTTTCTGTCGATCTCACTTAAAATCGTTTAAGTTTACTTTTAATTTCTCTTCTAGTGATATATTCATTAGTAAATGAATTAAAAAACACAACGAAACAACAGAAAAAAAAACATTCGTCTTCGATAATCTATCAAAAGACTTCCTCCGTATTTGGAAATAAGTAAATGCTTGAAAGCATTTTAT